ATTAAGGTATCTTTACTTTTACCCAAGTTTAACAATTGGGTACTTTTTCCACCACTGCCTGTGAATTATTTGAGGCTACAATGAATTACCATGAATTGTTTGAGGTTTAATGTTTGATTTGTTACATGAAATAATCCAGTAATGACTCGAAGAAATGATGGCAATCATCTGTTTTTATCACCAGTAAGAAACTGCTAGCTATTGGTAGCTACTTGGTAGCCACAGACCCAGTCGCCCTCTAGTGGCAAAAGTAAGAACTGGCGAAAATGCATGTCAAAGTGGAGAATAATTATTCTGTCAAGGAAAAGTTTTATTTTTTTTCTAGAGGCATACTAAGACAAAATAAACGTGACACAGTGTGTAAATGATAACACAGTGCAGGAAATGAAGAAATGGATTAATATGCTGGAAGTGAATACTGGAATTAAACAATTAACTATGCAAATGAGCAAAAGGTGTGTTCATTAAGGAAATAGACGCCTGGCTCAAATAGAAGCCTGTCTCTAATAAGCGGCAGTTGTGTTCAGTGATTTAAGCAAATAAACGCCCCGGGCTATTAATTGAAGTTTTACGGTTGCTCATACAATTATATTTAGTTTTAGTCAATGACAATACATGTTGCAAAGTAAATACCTGCGTCATTGCATGCTAGTGCATAAAATCTCTAGATGTGTTCTTTTTGCATAGGAAACATCAAGCTGAAGGAGGGATACACAATTATGATAGCTAGTGACTGAGGATGAAAAACTCAGTGACCACTAAATGTCCTTGTATACCTATATTTACATCAAATGCACTTGATTTTTAAAATCAGTACCTTGTGAATTACAAGCCCATTCAATCTATTTTGGGGCATCTATAATAATCTTTATTTTTTATACTCAGCAGGTAGGGGCGTACTTCAAATGATTTGTCTTCATGAATGGTTTCATGTGAGCTTGGTTGCATCCCCCATCTTAAAATGTAAGAAGGCATTTGATATCACAAAGTATGCTGTATTTCCATTTCTCCTGCATTGTCATTTCTCATTTAGTTAGCCCTACCTCACCCCAGAAATACAAATCAGTTTACAGAGAAAATACATCGATGTATGTACAGTACCAGTCAAAAGCTTGGACACACCTACTCATTCCAGGGTTTTTCTTTATTTTTACTATTTCCTATATTGTAGAATAATAGTGAAGACGTCAAAACTATGAAATAACACATTTGGAATCATGTAGTAACCAAAAAAGTGTTAAACAAATCAAAATATATTTTATATTTGAGATTCTTCAAATAGCCACCCTTTGCCTTGATGACAGCTTTGCACACGCTTGGCATTCTCTCAACCAGCTTCATGAGGTAGTCACCTGGAATGCATTTCAATTAACAGGTGTGCCTTCTTAAAAGTTAATTTGTGGAATTTTTTTCCTTCTTAATGCGTTTGAGCCAATCAGTTGTGTTGTGACAAGGTAGGGGGGTATACAGAAGATAGCCCTATTTGGTAAAAGACCAAGTCCATATTATGGCAAGAACAGCTCAAATAAGCAAAGGGAAACGACAGTCCATCATTACTTTAGGACATGAAGGTCAGTCAATCCGGAAAATTTCAAGAACTTTGAAAATGTCTTCAAGTGCAGTTGCAAAAACCATCAAGCGCTATGATGAAACTGGCTCTCATGAGGACCACCACAGGAATGGAAGACCCAGAGTTACCTCTGCTGCAGAGGATAAGTTCATTAGAGTTACCAGTCTCAGAAATTGTAGCCCAAATAAACGCTTCACAGAGTTCAAGTAACAGACACATCTCAACATCAACTGTTCAGACAGGACTGTGTGAATCAGGCCTTCATGGTTGAATTGCTTCAAAGAAAACACTACTAAAGGACACCAATATTAAGAAGAGACCTGCTTGGAAATGTTGTCCTTTGGTCTGTAGTCCAAATTGGTTTGCGCTTAGTGGGACTATCATTTGTTTTTCAACAGGACAATGACCCAACAAACCTACAGGCTGTGTAAGGGCTATTTTACCAAGAAGGAGAGTGATGGAGTGCTGCATCAGATGACCTGCCCTCCACAATTCCCCGACCTCAATCCAATTGAGATGGTTTGGGATGAGTCGGACCGCAGAGTGAAGGAAAAGCAGCCAACAAGTGCTCAGCATATGTGGGAACTCCTTCAAGACTGTTGGAAAAGCATTCAAGGTGAAGCTGGTTGAGAGAATGCCAAGAGTGTGCAAAGCTGTCATCAAGGCAAAGGGTGGCTATTTGAAGAATCTCAAATATAAAATATATTTTGATTTGTTTAACACTTTTTTGTTTACTACATGATTCCATATGTTTTATTTAATTGATTTGATGTCTTCACTATTATTTTACAATGTAAAAATAAGAATGAGTAGGTGTCCAAACTTTTGACTGGTAGTGTACAGTGGGGGGAAAAAGTATTTAGTCAGCCACCAATTGTGCAAGTTCTCCCACTTAAAAAGATGAGAGAGGCCTGTAATTTTCATCATAGGTACACGTCAACTATGACAGACAAAATGAGAAAAGAAAATCCAGAAAATCACATTGTAGGATTTTTTATGAATTTATTTGCAAATTATGGTGGAAAATAAGTATTTGGTCACCTACAAACAAGCAAGATTTCTGGCTCTCACAGACCTGTAACTTCTTCTTTAAGAGGCTCCTCTGTCCTCCACTCGTTACCTGTATTAATGGCACCTGTTTGAACTTGTTATCAGTATAAAAGACACCTGTCCACAACCTCAAACAGTTACACTCCAAACTCCACTATGGCCAAGACCAAAGAGCTGTCAAAGGACACCAGAAACAAAATTGTAGACCTGCACTAGGCTGGGAAGACTGAATCTGCAATAGGTAAGCAGCTTGGTTTGAAGAAATCAACTGTGGGAGCAATTATTAGGAAATGGAAGACATACAAGACCACTGATAATCTCCCTCGATCTGGGGCTCCACGCAAGATCTCACCCCGTGGGGTCAAAATGATCACAAGAACGGTGAGCAAAAATCCCAGAACCACACGGGGGGACCTAGTGAATGACCTGCAGAGAGCTGGAACCAAAGTAACAAAGCCTACCATCAGTAACACACTACGCCGCCAGGGACTCAAATCCTGCAGTGCCAGACGTGTCCCCCTGCTTAAGCCAGTACATGTCCAGGCCCGTCTGAAGTTTGCTAGAGTGCATTTGGATGATCCAGAAGAGGATTGGGAGAATGTCATATGGTCAGATGAAACCAAAATAGAACCTTTTGGTAAAAACTCAACTCGTCGTGTTTGGAGGACAAAGAATGCTGAGTTGCATCCAAAGAACACCATACCTACTGTGAAGCATGGGGGTGGAAACATCATGCTTTGGGGCTGTTTTTCAGCATGACAATGATCCCAAACACACTGCCCGGGTAACGAAGGAAGAAGCATTTCAAGGTCCTGGAGTGGCCTAGCCAGTCTCCAGATCTCAACCCCATAGAAAATCTTTGGAGGGAGTTGAAAGTCTGTGTTGCCCAGCGACAGGCCCAAAACATCACTGCTCTAGAGGAAATCTGCATGGAGGAATGGGCCAAAATACCAGCAATAGTGTGTGAAAACCTTGTGAAGACTTACAGAAAACGTTTGACCTGTGTCATTGCCAACAAAGGGTATATAACAAAGTATTGAGAAACTTTTGTTATGGACCAAAGACTTATTTTCCACCATAATTTGCAAATAAATTCATTAAAAATCCTACAATGTGATTTTCTGGATTTGTTTTTCTCATTTTGTCTGTCATAGTTGACGTGTACCTATGATGAAGATTACAGGCCTCTCTCATCTTTTTAAGTGGGAGAACTTGCACAATTGGTGGCTGACTAAATACTTTTTTTCCCCACTGTATGTGTCTAACAGATCCATAAGTCTTCTCCAAAATGTCCTAGATGTCAATAAACTAATCATATGCAATAGTGACATTTTACACCAGTGCAGCAAGCTAGTGGACTCGGTTTCCATTGGACTAGCCTAGAGCTCGTTAGCTAGGTAGCTAACGCTGGCTAGCTAGCTAACGTTAGCATCACTAGCATGCTAACTTTAGCTAGCTAGCTAATGAAGATAAACCATAGTCATGGGTCCACAAAATCAAGCAAATGGTACTGAACTCATGACAAAAACTTTTTGACATTGTAGTGGTTTTATTTTTTGCTTAGTGACATTGCGAATATAATCTTTTTGGCATTTAACTCTGATTTAACTAGCTATGTATCTAATCTGGTTTAGGCATGAGAAAATGAATGAGAGATACTGCGAGAATTTGCGCACTCATGGATATGGAGCCTCAGAAATAAAAGATCTGCACACGGATTAGGAGCCACTCCCAATATATTAAGATACATCAGTGATTTGAAAAGAAATCAAGGCATTTCTTCACCTTGTTTTGACTTAAGGAAATCTAGGCAAAGAAGGACATCGATCAGTCTTTCTAAAATATCAGTCCAGTATGTGTGTCCACAAATTAACAGCCATTGCCACGGTCACTCTGTCCTTTTGTTCCTCCATCCAGTCGGAAAATCAGCTGGAAAAGCATGCCACAAAGACAATGCTCTCTCTTCCCATTGTCACGGAAGCCATTAAAACGCACTCGGTTGTCAGACTTCCACAGAGAATAGAACTCTGCCAGGTCTCCAAAATTCCAGAAAACCAGAACTCGAGGCATGTGACGATGATGTTTCTCTCGTGTGCCACAGGTAACAAAGCTAGTACCAAGAGTCTTTTTTAACTTCAATTAAATAAATAGCTCTTTTAAAAACTTTTCTTAGTTAATATACTGTATATTTGCTCTGTAGTTATCTATTTACAAAAACATCTACTTGAATTGATTCATGAAATCAAAAGGCAGATATAGTTAAATATTAGAATCAAATATACATACAGTATCTGTCGGATAATGAATTGTAACAACAAGGTAGTAAATGGTGAGTGTTTTCGTATTGAGTCGGCCATGGTTCTGTAGCTGTAGCTGTGTGCTAGACAAAGATCTTAGCAATGAACTCACGGAACCTCTTGGCATACTGCTCAGGGTGAACGGTGGAGATTTCTGCTCCAGACTAGGAATCACAAAAACACAACATATCAAACAAATACAGATATTGATAAACCAACAACAATAAGAACTTTAACTTTTCAGATAGTGAAGACATCTTGAAAACAAATAGATAAATGTGGGTATTTCCTAACCCCTAAAAGGTTCTAAAGTACAGTTCAGAATGTATACTCACAACTCTTTTGCACGCATGCACACATCAGTGTGTCACTCACCCCGTGTTTGACGGTCTTGGCAGCACGAGCGGCTTTCTTCTTGGTGTCATAGTGGGTCAGGACGTCAATCAGACCCATGAAGTACACTTCCCTCTGGGGTGCACCTACAGCAGCAAGACAGACAGTGAGTAATAGGCTATCACACAGTGGATGGATGATCATCACTCCCCTACTGACTGTGAGGTATACATGTAGCTACTGTACTGTATACGGCTTAATACAGTACGAGACAAATCCTAACTGGATTTGGAAGCACATGATACATTTTCACACAAATCTCTCATTGACACATTGATGCAGTATCAAGTAAGTAAGTCATGGGTATCTCAGGTTAGGATTGTACCCATTGTGCCCACAAGTTCACTATTCATCATCACTGTGTCTAAGGGATAATCAACAAGAGGCTATGCGTTCTATGGAAAATAATGAATGACGTGGAAGGAGCTGCATTCTTTTCCAGAGTTGATTATCCCTTTTATACCATGGCTATAATTTAACACATTTGCCGCTAGAAATGTGTTCATTTGCCGGGTCATTCCTACAATGCGGTGCCATTTGGACCTCAAAACTTTAGGATTTTTTAAATTTTATTTTACCTTTTTGTTTTGTATTCTATCAGAAAAATGATATTTGACTTTCAGAAAAACATATTGGTCAAGCTCAGGCACTTACATTTTTGGGTGCATTTTCAAATTTGTTAGGCACATTATCCTGACAGGGTGGAACCCACAGTAACGTTGAGCCTAAATTAGCCATAGCTCTGTGAGTGAGCAAGTTTGAGCTAGCATAATGGTGAACACTTGAACAGGATCTTAACATTTCTATCAACATATTTTAACATTTCGATTATTTTTTTAATGTTCTCTATAATTTAGCCTAACAGGGTGGATATTTATTTGTATTTATTTAATTCAGTTAAGAACAAATTCTTATTTACAATGACGGCCTACCAAAAGGCAAAAGGCCTCCTGCGTGGACGGGGACAAAAAATATATATACTGTATAGGACAAAACACACATCACGACAAGAGACACATCACAACACTACATAAAGAGAGACCTAAGACAGCAACATAGCATGGCAGCAACACATGACAACACAGCATGGTAGCAACACAACATGGCAACAGCACAACATGGTAGCAGTACAAAACATGGTACAAACATTATTGGGCACAGACAACAACACAAAGGCAAGAAGGTAGAGACAACAATCCATCACGCGAAGCAGCCACAACTGTCAGTAAGAGTGTCCATGATTGAGTCTTTGAATGAAGAGACGGAGATAAAACTGTCCAGTTTTAGTGTTTTTTTGCAGTTCGTTCCAGTCGTTAGGGACATAGACAACATGAAACATGGAAAAATAGATACAACTGAGTGTTTGTAGTTTTGCACCATAGCTTTCCCACCAAAGAAATTATGACACTTCCTGAATGTGGTGTCATTGTAGGAAGGGGATGTTTACTTAAATGGAGAATTACAACAAACTAACAGGGTGGAAAGTGATATCAGGGACACACAGAAAATCTTAAATAAAATAATAATAAATACAATATTCATGCAAAAAAACTATTGATGAAAGAGACTAACTAGGACTATAAAATAATGAAAGATTTTTAACATTTTATGATTTTATGGCTTATATTTCTTGTGGAAATTGATAAATAACACCTGGAGACATGGCAAAAACGCCTACATCCACTGACAAAAAGTGTTTAAAATACATAAAATTCCCTTTCAGGATCCGTATTTTGGAGTTTTTAAGGTAAAGGACACCTGACCTTATATTTAAAGCCTTTTGGAATCCACATTTTACACTAAATAAGAACTGATATTTCCTGGGGACAGAAAAGTAACTGCATATTAGGAATGACCCTGCCGCTAGAAATGTGTTCAACATCTACTGAAGTAGCTAGCAAGTTCACTAGATAGCGACAGTAGTTGCCTTAGTAACCAAACAAACAGACTTGCTAGTTTAGCTAACCGAACCATCACTCCTAGTTTGCTATTATGAAAATCTAATTCAACAAGGCCAATAATGTTTTCAATTCGACTTTTGCTTTCAAAAGCAGCTCAAACATAGAACATTGAATTCTACCGAACTAATATACCGTGTGTTATATAAGTGATAATGCCTGAGAAGCCGGTGTTTGGAGGATATATTGGCATAGGTTTTATAAGCCCGAGACGAAGTCGGCAAACCGTGCCAATATATCCTCCAAACACCGGCTTCGAGTGCATTATCACTTTTATACAACGGGTTACCAACATATTCAAATAATGATTGACATATTTATTCATACTATTTCATCCTTCCACAAGATATAGTCCCGACACAAATCTAGGGTTGCTACCCAAGCCGGCTGGTCGTTCGTTCTATCGGTTCGGTTGGCAGAGACGCGACCCAGTCGTTCAGTCTTTTTGTTCTCTATCTATGGACGTGACCCAGTCATACGTTGTAAATGTTCCATTGCCATACTGGCTGCCAACGTTCTTATCCCTTGCTTGCTAGCTAGCCAACTACGGCTAACTTACAGTCACGTCAAACAGTGCAGCCAGAATAACAACAGTAGGCGCATTTGCATTGCTGTTTTCTAGTGACATTTATTTAGATACAGCCATAAGAATGAGCTAATGAGGTGCGACTTCACCTGGCATAGAAAATGTGCTCTCTCGTCAGGACACTGTTATTCAGAGGAGCTAGCCAACAACACAGCTAACACAATCACTTCAAACTGAAGCTGGAAAGACTGCAAACTAGCTGCACTTCGTTTCGTTTTACCTTTTTTCAACTGACCTTTCTTTGTATATATCCATAAAAATAATGCCAGCTGATCCATGATTTCGGCTGGCTGAGAAACGGTGCCTGCCTGTCTGTCTGTCTTGTCCCGACTCCCGACACATTCATTACTATGGGATGGCTGGAGATCGAACTTGAATATTGAAACAATGTTGCAAATGTCGGAGAGACAGACAGCAAGGTTTATACAAATGTCTGTTGTTGAAAACTAAATGTTAGTCTAAAAGAAATCTGAGATAATGTCTAGATGCTTTTTATAATGATTATCAAGTTTATAAATTGTCTGGCTGGGCTGATGAGACAGTGGATTGTGCAGTCAGATGAAACAGAGTAAACTGGCATTTTAAGGTCATAGATTTAGCCGGTGTAACTCGTGGAATAGACACCGGCTAGAATGAGGTTAACCAATCAGCATTCAGGATTAGATCCATCCATTGTAGGAAAGGAAATAATTCACGCTCTAGAATGCCCTTCAAGCCAATCAGAAATGAGTATTCAACAATGCCATGGTATAAGTCAATGTATCCAAAAGTTAGATCATCAATGACCATACAAAACCTCCAAGACATCAAAAAAGAAACCATCCTCTTTGAATCATTGTTCTGTTCAGCTACAATATTCACTTGTTGGGACTCAGAATTAAATAGAACACAGAAACTAAATAGAACACTAGAAAGGAAATTGTCATCCTAGAAATATGCCTATATATCTGTCATCTTGGTCGGGAAAACTTTAATTCTAGAAGTGAATTGTAGGATCTCTATGGGGACTCACCCACAGCACTCTGAATGGCGTAGACGTCTACATAAGGGTCAAACTCCCCGGGCCCCAGGGGTTTAAAGGAGTTCATGTAGCCAGCGATGCCCTCAGGGGAGGTGCCATAGGAGCCCACAGCAGGAACAGCGGCAGGAGTCAGGCTGTTCTCCTCCTCCTCGTCCTCCGCATCATAATCATCATACGACTCCTCCTCCATCTCCTCCTCCTCCGCCCGGCCCACATCGTGGATCCCCAGCAGCAGGCTGTAGTCCATGATCCTCAGACGCACCAGAAACTGGAGAGAGAAAGAGAGAGAGAGACAGAGGGAGACAGACACACACACACAGAAGAAAAGACAAACAGTACAGTTAGCCACTTACAAAAGATCAGTCACATTTGTCTGTACATCTTTCCTCCCTCTCAACACACACTGGGGCATCCCTCCCAGCCAGCCACTCTGTACTGATGCATATTGTATTACTGTGCAACTGATGCTGTGCCATGTCTCTGACACTCACCTCCACGTCTCTGTTGAGCTTGTCCATGATCCTCTCCTTCTCCTCCTCACTCACATAAACCTTCTGCATGTTATTCCTGAAGTCCACATCTTTGTACGTGGGCAACTCTTTCTCCTGAAAACACAATGAGAAAGAGGGGAGGGAGAAAGTCAATAAGAGAACCAATTTAGATCTACATGGTGCCAGCTTTTTGTTGATAAAGTCAAAATATCCCACAAATCACTCTTGAAAAGAAATAATTTAGAGATTTTGCTATGATCTTACCTTTTCCTTTAAACTTGCTTCACGGGACACCAGGGACCCCTGATAAAATAACAAATTCTGTTTAAAAACCTGCCTGTTACGAATGTTACTGCCGAGGGCATTGTAGGACTATTGTCCAGCGTGTGTTACTTATTTACATCTGGCTGGCGCCGCAAAGACTGGCTCTCCCTCTCAAGTGAGAGATTTAGAATCACCTCCAGCTCGTGGCTCTAGCAAATCAGACTCTCCCCATGCGTGTCACACTCTGTCCATACACTTATCTCACATTCTCTGATTGGTCAGATGCTCCTTGCTAGCCCTGTACTGGTCAGACAGTTCCGTTGCACGCTCTGGTAAGGGTATAAATACGTCCTGGGCCCGGCCAGTGTTATTCCAGTGTGAGATAGTGAGGGAGTTACAGTGCCTTCAGAAAGTCACACCCCTCAACTTTTTCCACATTTTATTGTGTTCAAAGTGGGACAAAAATGTTTTTAATTGTCATTTGTTGTTAACGATTTACACAAAATAATCTGTAATGTCAAAGTGGAATAAAAATTCTAACATTTGTAAAACATTTATGAAAAATAAAACACTAATACAATAGTTAGATAAGTACTTAACCCCCTGAAATCAATCAATACATGTTAAAATCACCTTTGGCAGCCATTACAGCTGTAAGTCTCTAAGAGCTTTCCACACCTGGATTGTTGACGTTTGGCCTCCTGTAGCTCAGTTGGTAGAACATGGCACTTGCAACACCAGGGTTGTGGGTTTGATTCCCACGGGGGGCAAGTATGAAAAATGTATGCACTCACTAACTGTAAGTCGCTCTGGATAAGAGCGTCTGCTAAATGACTAAAATGTAAAATGTTTGCCCATTATTTAATTTTTTTAATGTTCAAGCAGATTTAAGTCAAAACTGTAACTTGGCTACTCAGGAACATTCACTGTTTTCTTGATAAGCAACTCCACTGTAGAATTTGGCCTTGTGTTTTAGCTTATTGTCCTGCTGAAAGGTGAATTAATCTCCCAATGTCTGGTGGAAGGCAGACTGAACCAGGTTTTCCTCTAGGATTTTGCCTGTGCTCCATTCTGTTCCTTTTCTATGCTGAAAAACTCCCCAGTCCTTAACAATTACAAGCATACCCATAACATGCAGCCACCACTATGCTTGAAAATATGGAGAGTGGATTTGCCCCAAATATAACAATTTGTATTCAGGACAAAAAGTTAATTTCTTTGCCACAGTTTTTGCAGTATTACTTTAGTGCCTTGTTGCAAACAGGATGCATGTTTTGGAATATTTGTATTCTGTACAAGCTTCCTTCTTTTCACTCTGTCAATTACGTTAGTATTGTGGAGTAACTACAATGTTGTTGATCCATCGTCAGTTTTCTCCTATCACAGCCATTAAACTCAAAATGTTTTAAAGTCACCTTTGGCCTCATGGTGAAATCCCTGAGTGGTTTCCTTCCTGTCCGGCAACTCAGTTAGGAAGGACGCCTTTGTAGTGACTGGGTGTATTGATACACCATCCAAAGTTTGACTAATAACTTCACCATGCCGAAAAGGATATTCAATGTCTGCTTTTTTACCCATCTACCAATGGGTGCACTTCTTTGTGAGGCACTGGAAAACTTCCCTGGTCTTTGTGGTTGAATCTGTGTTTGAAATTCACTGCTCCACTGAGGGACCTTAAAGATAATTGTATGTGTGGGGGAAAGAGATGAGGTAGTCATTAAAAAATCATGTTAAACACTATTATTGCACACAGAGTGAGTCCATTGAATTGAATTTATTTAGGGTAACAGACATATACAACAAAATGTACAATGTGGACCCAGAGGATATCACTTGAAAGTATTAATTAAAACGCTTGTTTCCAAAATGGTCCTCGATGGTAAAAACAATAACACATCATGATTAAAAGGCAAGACAAAATTACAAACAACCATAAATACATTCATTTATATTGACATCCTAAAAAAGGGCAATATTCACTGCACTTTTCCCTAACCTTAAAAATCAGCCATATTAATTTCACATTAAAACAATCTATTCATTGCACATCATCCCTATCATTCAAATAAATACACCTGACCAGCAGTAGGGGGCAGTGGAGTGGTTTCTCTTACTTAGACAACCTTGTCCAAATGAAAACCTTTACCTGCTTTTTAAAGCTATTTCTACTTTTTCTTTGCTTGATCTCCAAGGGGAGGCTATTCCATAGACAAATGCCGGTATAGAAAAATGTGCTCCTTGCAATACTGTTTACTCTTGGGATTTTACAAGACATAACACTAGCTCTAGTATTGTAACTGTGTTGGTTAAAGACCATATCAATGTGGTTTTTCATATAACCTGGGGCACGATCATTTAAGATGTCAAACATATGATTAAGTTTAAGTTGGTCCATTCTGGACTCCAAAGGCAACAAGCCCACCTCCCGGAACTCCTGTACCCCTATGTGGGTCCTAGGGGGACATTCAGCATATACCTGATAACATTATTTTGCATGACCTGCATTCTCTTTTTCAGCTTTTTTGATAGCCCACTTTACCAAGCAGAGCAGGCATAATCAAAATGACACTGAATCAAGGTTGAGACAAGCAGTTTCTTAACTTTGATGTTAAAATATCTAGTGTTATGATATAAACATTTCAATTTGTTCGCCATTTTAGAAATAATTTTAGCAGCAATCAAGTCTCCATTAAGGGATTGATCTAGGGACACACTAAGATAAGTTACACTTGTTTTAGATTCAATCTCCTTGCCTGCACAGTTTACCTTTATCTTGTCAGCCCTAAGCAATCTACGTTTTGTTCCAAACAAAATCGATTCAGTTTTTCCCAAATGTAGCAACAATTTGTTGTCAGTCAACCAATCTCTAACAAAATGCAATTCCTTACTCAGGGTCTCCTCTATGTAAACTGTATCCTTCCCTGATACCAGTATGGCTGAGTCATCAGCATAAAGCAGGAGCTTGCACTTTACTGTATCTGGCATATCATTAACATATATAAGAAATAGAGGCCCTAAAATTTATCCATGCGGTACTCCACAGGATATTTATTTGGCCTCTGACAGAACATCACCAACATTACATACTTGTGTTCTGTTGGTCAGATAAGACCTAAACCAATTCACTGCTAAATCATTTAGACCCATGCATTTCAGTTTCATCAGGAGAATATCATGGTCCACAGTGTCAAAAGCTGTCTGCAAGTCTAACATGACCATACCTGTATAGTTCCCCTTCTCACTTTCCTTCTTGATGTGGTCAAAAAAGGTGGATATGGCAAGTATCAGTGGAATGAGCTGTTCTAAAGCCAGATTGGAGTTCATAAAGAAGTTTGTGCTGGAGAAGGTATCCCTCAAGCTGATTAAAAACGAATCTCTCAACAACTTTGGATAAGGTGCTGAGGATCAACACAGGCCTGTAGTTTCCCACATTTGTTTTACTGCTCTTCTTGTGGAGCGGAACCACCCGGGCTGTTTTGAGATCATTGGGAAATGTACCACTACTAAGGTTTACAATATGCATTATCATTTTAGCAGTGACACAAGCACTATTCTTTATGAATCTTGCAGGAAGGTTATCCGGCCCAGTTGCTTTGTTTGTGGTCATTAAGCATAGTAGATTGTAAACTTTATCCTCTGTCACCATGCACAGCTCAAACAAATAATTTGTGATACCTTTGCTATGGTAAATGTTCGTAATGAAAGACTGGCCATAGTGTCCAGAGCAGGTCGGTAACTTCTTAACCAGAGATGAGGCTATAGTGGTAAAAAATGTGTTCAAATAATTTGCAACCTTTGCCTGGTCATATCATAACACATCCTCAATATCCAGGCCAATACTACAGGAATATTACCTTATGGGGAGTTTTTGAGCCAATGTCCTTTAAAATGTTCCACAGTTTACGAGGCTGATGTAAGTTGTCATTAACAGCGTCTATGTAATGTTGGGATTTGGCCTTATCCATTTTGTTTCTTGCCTGATTTCTACAGTTAATATAACCATCATCATTTTGTTGTAGATTTGTCGTTCTGAATTTGGCCTGGTAGCAATCCCTGTTCCATTTCCCTGACCGCTGTTTGATTCGATTTTGTTTAAATTGGAGCCAGAGAGTCGAGTGCAGACAGAAACAGATCTTTAAAAATATACCAAGCTTGATCAACATCATCACAGTTTAGTACATGAGACCAATCCAAAATTCCAAGTACTTCTACAAAATGTTCCTTTGAGTATTATTTCATAGACCGTACGTTCATGTAGTCATTACCTGGCTCAAGTAGCATTTTTGATTTCTTACGGGTACAGTAGGTTACCATATGATCACTAAAACCAATATTTAAGACTCCTGACTGACAGACGTTCTCTTGGTCTGATACAATAATCAAATCCAAAGTTGATTTACTGTCAATACACACCCGGGTTGGCTCAACAATCAGTTGTTTTAGTCCAAATAACTGATTAAAGTTATACATGGCATTTACTGGGTGATAACTGCACATTTGTATTAAAATCGCCAAGCAGAATACATTCCCTATCAGCAAATACATTGTGATCACAGCAATTCGATTCAAGTAAAGCATATATATTATTCTGCTTAGGAGGCCGATAGCACACACCAACAAGTATAGGATGACATTTAGGAAGAAGTATATCTACCCATGCAGCTTCAAGACCATCCATTTTCAGATCCAAACTAGGGTTAAAATGCACATAATTCCTAGTAAAAACACACACGCCACCACCGTTTCGGTCAATTCTATGAATGCTATAACCCGGTAGCTCAACCTCGTTGTCCTCAATTGACCCATCGAGCCATGTCTCAGTCGCAGCAACTACTGCAGCCCGTGTGTTAGAAGCAAGGAGTTTTAATTCCTCTAATTTCGGCAGCAGGCTCCGTGCGTTCACATGGATGAAGTTAAGTCCTCTCCGCTTGAAACAGTCAAACATGTTATTTTCTGTGCCCACTGCTGATACATCGACTATCTCATCTAGATTGCACTCATCATCCCTGCTTGTGTCCAGCATCCCAATGTTCGGCACCATATTTAAACAGCATACATTGCAAACAAGCGAAATGTTATTTTGAAACTTTACAGCTTCATCATATGACAAGCGTTGGATAGCTCCACACTTTATGTGAACAAACAAATCACAAATGTCGCAAGCCACCGCTTTTTAATTCTTCCTTATGGTCTTACCGCAGTTTGGGCATAGCTTTTGAGCTTGCTTTGTGGTGTTTGTTTCAGGACAGGGGTGTACATCGCCACAGAGTAGCAGACTGAAAATAACAAGCAGCTTGTTGGGGTTGACACCGGTCTCAGCTGCGCTGCGGCGTTTCCTGTGTACATTCGCAGAGCGGCTCAGCTGTTCCCGTAGGAAAGGTGATATCAGGTGCCGGTAAATTTGTTCATGGCCGAAGTTCACACTATAAAAGTGAAGAATTCCATCCACGTCTTTCGGTGTAGGTGGAATGTTTGAATTGTAGAATAAATCAGAAACGCCAAAGCAAAGCTTCTGCCTAGAGCCATAATCCTGTTCAGAGCTCTGTCAAAATTAGTGCACTATAAAAGGGAATAGTGTGCCATTTGTGACAATATTATGTGACTTGTTATGCACATTTTTACCCCTGAACTTATTTAGACTTGCCATAACAAAGGGGTTGAATACTTATTGACTCAAGACATTTCAGCTTTTCATTTTTAATTAATTTGTAAAAATTTCTACAAACATAATTCCACTGACATTATGGGCTATTGTGTGTAGGCCAGTGACCAAAAAAAATCGCTATGTAATACATTTTCTATTCAGGCTGTAACACAACCAAATGTGGAAAAAGTCAAGGGGTGTGATTACATTCTGAAGGCTCTGTATGGGATGCCTAAACAAGGTAAGTTGTTCTTATCGTTGTTATCGTTGCAGTTTGTGCTGAAGTAGCTGTGTTCCTCCTTGTTATTTTTGTTGTTGTTGGTATTATCTGCAATTAGTAGTGGCTATTTACTGTTTCCTATTTACTATCTATTTGATACTTGTAAAAGTCCTTTGGTTACATTGTATTACTGTGTAATACTAGGTGAAAAATCTGTCGATGTGCCCTTTAGCAAGGCACTTAACCCTAATTGCTCCTGTAAGTCGCTCTGGATAAGAGCGTCTGCTAAATGACATAAGTGTAAATGTAATAGCATTCACCATCTACTGGTCGATTAGTCATTGTTGTTGTGCATTACTGTGTAATAGCCTACTATATCTATTATCATATACAGTTCTTAGCTCTAGTTGCTATTGCTCATCATTGCAGTGTATTATCATATACCATCCTTCATATTGTGGTATTTCAGTTCTATGCCATTACACTGTTGAAGCTCATTCATACCCATTTGTTACTCTGCTATAGTCATTGTAGCCTATATGTTTATATTCATTATTCCTTTCTATGTACCTTTCAGAACCATCCCCATGTACCTATGTTCCAGTGTGTGTAAATGAAGTTTCCCTGTGTTTGTGTGTAACTTTGTGAGGCTGCCTTATTCTCCTCTAACGGGGCAGAGAGCCAGGTTGCTTTCCTTCACTGCCAGTAATTACATCTATGGTGGAACTGAGCAAAACTACTGTGAACAGAATGGGTAATGGCACCAGTGTTCCCTCTAGTGGTCTGTCTGTGTGAGAGCATAATCACAATATAACCACATCATTGTAAGTAGACAAACTTTATCCTGAGCCCAAACCACTAACATACCTCATATCCACAACATGGAACATCCTAGAACAGTGATGAGTGATCTGAATATATGGGCTAAATGTTGTTACGTAATATAGTTGAAAAACTAAATGTGGTTGCACTCAAAATAACCTAAAAAAGATATACTGAAAAAGTGTATAGGACTTTCTTTGTGTCTACTGCTGATGCAAAAAGGTCTTTATAAAATAATGTTATTGATCGATACCTTGAGGTCGTACTTCCTGTGAACGTTGAGCCTGTGGCTGAACATGTTCCTCATAACGATGAGGTAGGTGTCCTCACTCTCCACGGTCACCCGGTACATGGCCAGAAACTGAGGCAGCAGCGTGCTGCCGTGACACGTCACTATGTACTGGTGGAGAGGGAGAACCAGGGATGATGTGGGTGAGGTGTTCAAGAGCTTATTGCCGTTATTTTGCTGGGCCGTTATTTAATTTAAGTGTGATGCTGCATCTTTATAGGAGATTACTGTACAGGATGTGCAGGCTATTGTTCCAGCCCAGCACTAAAACACATGATTGAAATAATCACTAATTGAATCAGCTGTATAGCATGCTAGCAGATACCCATAGAACTCCAGTCATTGCGCTAATGCTAGTTAGCATTGGCTCGCAAAACTACATCCAACTTTCTTCATACTGGACACAGAGACATAAAAATGGTATCCACGAGTTTATCTGACTCTGGGGAAGTAGATAAAGGGCCTCATTGTCAAAATCCCGAAGTATCCCTTTAATGCTGAGTTCGAACAAAAGCTTAAACATCCATCTCCAGAGTCTCCAGGACCAGCTTTGCACTCTCACTGTTGCACAGTTGTGCACTAAAGGGAATAGGGTGCCAGATGGGAATAGGGTTCCAGTGTTGTTACCTGGTGATATTCAGACAGGATGTTGTGCATGTCCTCCACTTCCTCACTGGAGATCTGTTTGAGTTTCAGGGTGCGGTCGTATGATGTCAGCAGCAGCCCCACTCCTTGGCCATCCCCGTCCTTCACTGGAGGGCTGCGGGCCAGAGAAACCTGTGAATCATAGAGGATAAGAGAAGTGCAACAGCCACCAATAATACCTACAAACTTTTCCTTTGTTTTTGTTATGGAAAACATTTACATCTCTGTACATAAAGGGATGATTAACCACAAAATCTAACTTTGACAGATGTTTTCATGACTGAAACGTAAATTAATGTGGAGTTAATGTTTTTCTAACACACCATCAAAACAGATGGTAGATGCATCTCTTAGAAGAAAATGGGGATATGACTGATTAAACGGGCATCGGCCCGTTAAAATTCCATCACCTTTAAATGGCAACTCTCCCCCAAATCACACGAGCCCCTATTACATGCCACATAACCTGTGACAATGAAAGTGAACAGACACCATTATGTGAGAACATGCAGTGAACACAGACCTTACCTACCAACTGATCCATGCAAATATTATGCCAACCTCATGCAAATTTAAAACTGCCGCATTCAAACCTACTCCCTTTCTAGTAGGCCATCAAAGCCACAGAGTTTATAAAGACTCACCATGTTGGTGTGTGTGTGTGGGTATTCATACCTGATAATCCAGATCCTCGATTCCAAAGCGCTCTCGGAGATTGCGGAACACCTGTGGACAATACTCTTTGAACTTGAAATGTCCTGGAAGATTCTCTCTGTAGAGGAACAAATAAGAGATCAAAAGTGTAACTATTGATCATGTTTATTACAGCTTTATAATCTTTTTTTAATGTTTGGGATTACTGATCTAACAAATAGAATGAATGGGGATGCCTCTTCTACTCATTCTAATTCTATGGGTTTTATAAGGTTAGGCCTATATGAATTCAACATTCACAAACATTAGGACTATATTTCTACATCTTCTCGACAAACATGAGAAACACCAGAACCAGACTTCAACTTAATGACCTGACACACTACTGGTATTAACCCTGAGGACATGGATATCATTTGGCCTCTTTTCTGTGTGTTGTTTTGGGGCGGCAGGTAGCTTAGTGGTTAAGAGCGTTGTGCCAGTAACCGAAAGGTTGCTGGTTCTAATCCCCGAGCCGACTAGGTGAAAAATCTGTCGATGTGCCCTTGACCCTAATTGCTCGTGTAAATCGCTCTGGATAAGAGCGTCTGCTAAATGACTAAAATCTCAAATCTAATCTCCCTCTCTCTTTCCCTCTCCTCTCCCTACTTGAGGCAGGAATTTCACACTTCATTGTTCAGAAATGGAACACCATGCTTCTAATCACTCTCCCAGGTGCTTTCAGCTGTGTACTACCACTTAGGGAGGAAAGCAGAGAACAGACTAAATACAGGGATCAGAATGAGCAACTTGTACAACTGAGCGCAATAACTGATTAATATTGTGAATAATGTATTGAAGAATAATCTGAGGACAAGCTCAAATAAATTATATTGTGCAATAACCATTTTGGTTGAGTAGGTTTTGCAGTCCAAGGGCTACTGTAAAAATAGCATTGCAATATTAATTGGATTAATAATAGTGGAAGGCATTTCTGAGGACATCTGATTGATATTATGATATCTGAACCACTATGCCTATCATTCCAAAATTATTTCAAAGGGCTTTCTTATTCTTGTGCAAATTAAAAAGAATCCAAACAAAGTAACGTGGGAGCAATCCTTCACCATGGCCTGAATTCCTGACCAGATTAAAGGATTGGAAAAACTACTAAATCTCATTGAGGTTTATATAGTTTACGGTCTCTGCTAGGAAACATGCAGGACCCCACTGTACAATAACAACACAATCTCTGGCCTTCGAGAAATACAAGAAGAAATACAGATTAAAAAAAAAAAGATTTATCCCTGTCACTTATCTGTGTGTGTGTGTGTGTGTGTGTGTGTCTCACACACACACACACACACACACACACACACACACACACACACACACACACACACACACACACACACACACACACACACACACACGTTCTCTCTGTGTCCGATGCCTTTCACATTCCTTTCAGTGGACATGTCATCGTGAGTCTAATTGCGCTGTCTACTTAGCCATTGAGCATCATAGTGTTTGTGTGAGCTGAGCTGCACCCAGAGGTTAAACAATCCCTGCTATGGTCCACACACAGGACATTTCTTTCTCTTTTAGAATAGTAGGAGCACTTTACTGTAAATCCTCCTTCTTACAAAACCTGCAAGGCTGCAAAGCTCTCAACAATGCTTAAGGTCAGTGTTTCCCACAAACACTCCCTCTCACATCTCTGCACAGAATGCAGCTTCATAGGTAGTGTTCACCTTTGAAATTCAGATAAACATAGACAAACCTATCTTCTAATATGCAATTATTGCATGAACAGAAAATTGGTTTGTGGCAGAGCTCAGGGCCGGTTCCAGGCATAAGCAACATAAGCAGTCCGGGGGTCCTCGGATATATATTGTTTTTTTTAGGAACTCAGTCGGGGTAGTAGAATAATAAATGTTGTGCATCAACAGTTTTTCTCTTGTTATGTCAGTCACTGACAGTCACTCAATTAGCCATGTCAGCAAACCATTTTTAGACTGGTAGTTAGTCTAACTAGCTATCAAAACTTGTAGTAATTATGATGGAATACCGACCGGGCACGCAGCGCATGTGCCCAGAGGCCCTGAGTTCCATTGATTTTGTTAGTCATTCTCACTCAGATATCATATTAACATGGCACAAGTCCTTACAAAATGTGTAGAATTGCAGGAAATTAGCTTTGAAACTGCAAAAATGTATCTCCACACCATGGCAGAATGGGTGTTTAGAGCCACCAAAAGGCTAGAGCCGGCCCTGGCAGAGATTGTGTGCCAAATTTGGAACAATTGAGTCAACAAGGGGATTTATAATCAGATGACATGGTTAACTCTCCACTTGAGCAAGGATCAATATATCTATTTTTTTACGGAGCTGGTTTAACAAACAGAGATTGTGCTGTACGTAGTCTAGTATAGTAGCCTACTTGTTGAAGAGATGGTTGTTGACTTTGATCTTGGTATTGGCTTTGAAGTCATCAGGAAGCAGCATGACGGGGACAGGCACCTGGACCAGGTCATTAATCTGCAGACAGTGGATACACTGTTAGAACACACACACAATAATAATAACATCAACAAAAACATTGATTTAATCGACGTACCGAGTGATTGACTCCCCACATAAGGACGCTTAGGACAGGGTCACTGGCTCGGAACACCTCCACTTTCTGCTGTACAAAATGTTTCTTCTTTGTCTTCGTTTTGGGAGCCAGGATACTCAAAGGGCTCGAGGTGGCACCCGGAGAAGCCATTGCGCCGTTAAAGTACAGTAAACAATAATCTGAGTTGGTTGCAATGCAGAGGGGAAAAATAGTTCTATATTTTGTTTACATGAATTCACCTTGGTGCACGGGTTTGCCGCTGTAAAGTTTGGTGTTGTTATTCGGTCCCAAGTTTATGACGCTGCTATAACAAACTCCTTAAATGAATCCCTGGTATAATAATTTCACTTTGCCTTCTTAAGTGACTCTGTTGACCTAATAGTCGCCGAAAAACAACCTCAGATTACATTAAAGACACTCGCCATCATCTGGCATAAACTCCCCAGTGTCCGGTGTCCAGCCGACAGGTGTGCGAGGAGTTGTGCCCTCGCGCGCTCCGCCCAACAAATGCAGCAACATTAACCCTCCCGTTGTCCTAGGGTCAAAATGACCCGCCACTGTGTTGAACCAACTTTATTTAATTTTTATATTTTTTGGATCATTTGTGAGAAGGAGGCAGTGATACGTTCTTTAAAGTCTCACTGCCTCCTTCTCACAAATGATCCCAAAAATATAAGAATTAAATAAAGTTGGTTCAACACAGTGGCGGGTCATTTTGACCCTAGGACAACGGGAGGGTTAAATCTAATTTTATTCGTCACATGCTTCGTAAACAACAGGTGTGGACTAACAGTGAAAAGTTTAGGATTTACTGGAACTTCTCAACAATGTGGAGAGAAAGAAAATAGAGAAAGTAAAACAAGTAATAATAAATGCAATAATAGATCCACCATGAGTAACAATAACTTGGATACAAGAGGTACCTGTACCGAGTTGATGTGCAAGGATATGGGGTACGAGGTAATTGAGGTATATACTGTATAACATATAACTAGGAATAAAGTGACAGATAGTAAACAGTAGCAGCAGCATAGGTGATGAGTCGAAAAAAGTTATTGCAAAAAGGCTCACTGCAGATAGTCCTGGTAGCTATTTGGTTAACTATTTAACTATTTAGCAGTCTTATGGCTTGGGGGTTGAAGCTGTTCAGGGTCCTGTTGGTTCCAGACTTGGTGCAGCGGTACCGCTTGCCGTGCGGTAGCAGAGAGAACAGTCTTTGACTTGGGTGGCTGGAGTTTTTGAAAATTTTTATTTAGGGCCTTCCTCTGACACCACCTGGTATAGAGGTCCTGGATGGCAGGGAGCTCGGTCCCAGTGATGCCAAGCAGTTGCCATACCAAGCGGTGATGCAGCCAGTCATGGTGCAGCTGTAGAACATTTTGAGGATCTGATGGCCCATGCCAAATCTTTTGAGCCTCCTGAGGGGGAAGAGGCATTGTTGTGCCCTCTTCACGACTGTGCTGGTGTGTTTGGACCATTATAGATCCTTAGTGATGTGGACACCGAGGAACTTGAAGATCTCGACCCGCTCCACTACAATCCCGTCGATGTGAATTGAGGCGTGCTCGGCCCTCCGTTTCCTGTAGTCCACAATCAGCTCCTTTGTCTTGCTGACGTTGAGGGAGAGGTTGTTGTCCTGGCACCACACTGCCCTCCTCCCTATATGCTTTCTCATAGTCAACCGTCAACCGTGAACAGGGAGTACAGGAGGGAACCAAGCAGGCACCCCTGAGGGGCCCCCTTGTTGAAGGTCAGTGTGGCAGATGTGTTGTTGCCTACCCTCACCACCTGGTAGCATCCTGTCAGGGAGTCCAGGATCCAGTTGCAGAGGGAGGTGTTCAGTCCCAAGGTCCTTAGCTTAGTGATGAGCTTGGAGGGCAAGATGGTGTTTAACGCTGCGCTGTAGTCAATGAACAGCATTCTCACATAGGTGTTCCTTTTGTCCAAGTGGGAAAGGGCAGTGTGGAGTGCAATAGATATTGCGTCATCTGTGGATCTGTTGGGGTGGTATGCAAATTGGAGTGGGTCCAGGGTGTCTGGGATGATGGTGATGATGTGAGCCATGAACAGCCATTAAAAGCATTTCATGGCTACAGATGTGAGTGCTACGGGGCGATAGTCATTCACAGGTTACCTTTGCGTTCTTGGGCACAGGGACTGGTGGTCTGCTTGAAACAGACTGGGTAAGGGAGAGGATGAAAATGTCAGTAAAGACACTTTCCAGCTGGTCAGCGCGTGCTCTGAGTACGCGTCCTGGTAATCCGTCTGGCCCTGTGGCCTTGAGAATGAGCCGGTGTAGTAAGATTCGATCTCAGTCCTGTATTGAAGCTTTGCCTGTTTGAATGTTCGTCAGAGGGCGAAGGGTGTCCTGCACAGGAGGTTGGTGGCACCTTATTTGGTTAGGACGGGCTCGTGGTAATAGCTGGAGCAGAATAGTGGAATGGTACCAAATACAGCAAACACATGGTTTCCGTGTGTTACATGCCATTCCATTCACTCCATTCCAGCCATTATTATGAGCTGTCCTCCCCTCAGCAGCCTCCACTGGTGTCCCGCTCCTTGAAAGTGGAGGCTCTAGCCTTTAGCTCAGTGTGGATGTTGCCTGTAATCCATGGCTTCTGGTTGGGATATATACGTATGGTCACTGTTGGGACGTCGTCGACGATGCACTTATTAATGAAGCCGATGACTGATGTGGTACATTCCTCAATGCCATCAGATGTGTCCTGTAATATATTACAGTCTGTGCTAGCGAAACAGTCCTGTAGCTTAGCATCCGCTTCATCGGACCACTTCCGTATTGAGCGTGCCACTGGTACTTCCTGTTTGAGTTTTTGCTTGTAAGCAGGAATCAGGAGGATAGAGTTATGGTCAGATTTGCCAAATGGATGGCGAGGGAGAGCTTTGTATGCGTCTCTGTGTGTCGAGTAAAGGTGATCTAGTTTTTTTGCCTCTAGTTGCAGAGGTGACATGCTGGCAGAAATGAGATAAAACAGATTTTTGTTTTCCTGCATTAAAATCACCGGCCACTAGGAGCACCGCCTCTGGGTGATCGTTTTCTTGTTTGCTTATGGCCCTATACAGCTTGTTGAGTGCGGTCTTAGTGCCAGCATTGGTTTGTGGTGGTAAATACACGGCTACGAAAAATATAGATGAAAACTCTCTTGGTAAATAATATGGTCTACAGATTATCATGAGGTATTCTAACTCAAGCGAGCAGAACAATCAAGACTTCCCTAATATTAGAGATTGCGAACCAGCTGTTGTTAACAAAGAGACACACACCACCCCCTTGAGCTTACCCTATAATAATAAAGCAAAAACAGGTTTCTAGAAATGTTTGATAATTTATTACAAATAAAAAATGGAAATATCACATTTACATAAGTATTCAGACCCTTTTCTCAGTACTTTGTTGAAGCACCTTTGGCAGCGATTACAGCCTCGAGTCTTCTTGGGTATGACGCTACAAGCTTGGCACACCTGTATTTGGGGAGTTTCTCCCATTCTTCTCTGCAGATCCACTCAAGCTCTGTCAGGTTGGATGGGGAGTGTTGCTGCACAGCTATTTTCAGGTCTCTTCAGAGATCAATCGGATTCAAGTCCGGGCTCTGGTTGGTCCACTCAAGGACAGTCAGAAACTTGTCCCGAAGCCACTCCTGTGTTGTCTTGGCTGTGTGCTTAGGGCTTAGTGCTGGAGAGATGGTTGTCCTTCTGGAAGGTTCTCCCATATCCACAGAGGAACTCTAGAGCTCTGTCAGAGTGACCATCAGGTTGTTGGTCACCTCCCTGACCAAGGCCCTTCTCCCCCGATTGCTCAGTTCTAGGAAGAATCTTGGTGGTCCAAACTTTTTCCATTTAAGAATGATGGAGGCCACTGTGTTCTTGGGGACCTTCAATGGTGCAGAAATTTTTTGGTACCCTTCCCCAGATCTGTGCCTCGACACAATCCTGTCTCTCCTCTGAGCTCTACGGACAATTCCTTCGACCTCATGGCTTGGTTTTTGCTCTGACATGCACTGTCATCTGTGGGACCTTATATAGACAGGTGTGTGCCTTTTCAAATCATGTCCAGTCAATTGAATTTAACACAGGTGGACTCCAATCAAGTTGTAGAAACATCTCAAGGATGATCAATGGAAACAGGATGCACCTGAGCGCAATTTTGAGTCTCATAGCAAAGGGTCTGAATACTTATGTAAATAGGGTATTTCTGTTTTATATTTTTAATAAATTAGCAAAAAATTGTAAAAACCTGTTTTCGCTTCGTCATTATGTGATATTATGTGTAGATTGCTGAGGATTTGTATTTATTTAGTCCATTTTAGAATAAGGCTGTAACGTAACAAAATGTGGAAAAAGTCAAGGGGTCTGAATACTTTCCGAAGGCACTGTATATTTAGATTATCATAAAAGGCTAGAATATAGTTAAAATGTAATTACTCCAATGAGACTTATATAGATTCCCACACCCCTAAAAATATAAACATTTGTTTTGTGACATTTAATTGTAATTTCCCCCTTATTCCGGAATGGAGTAGAGTTGCATGAGTTCAGGTCGTACTTTTTGCAATTTCCTAATAACATTTGAACGAATGAAACAAAACAGTCTTTGTGTGTGTGTGTGTGTGTGAGTATGTGAGTGTGTGAGTGTGTGTGTGTATGTGTGTGTGTTCCATCTGTATGTAAAGTCGCAAATGCCAACTAATTCACGTATCATTCCTGTCTCCTGCTGTTGTGTATTGTGTACCTTTTTATAAGTCTCAGATTGTGCTTTTGGAAGGTAAAGAACATAGAAAACACACCCACTGGAAGCTAAGAGCATACCAACTCCAAACCTCTTTGGCTTTAGATATTGTTATGGTAACTCTGAGAGCCAGTCCTGTTCTAAATCTTCCTGGTCATATGAGAACAATTTCTGGATTAAGGGCACACTGGCCAGCCATTACAGCCATAGCAAGGTTATTTTCAGTTTTTGTTTAACTGTAGACCACATGCTGTTATGAGGCTCACATGAAACCTCTAAAATGTATATTATACAGCAGGTAAGTATCTTCATCAGACATCTGGGAAAGATAGCCATCAACATACATTTGCTTCCAGGGTGTTTCCACTCAGAGGCTTTTATTGATAAAATGTCACATTTACTTAAGTATAAAAAATTGTCAACATAAATAATTAAATCAATAAAACAATGTTCAGCAGGTACAGTACAAAATACAATGTTTTTTCATGCCCAATAGAAAACAAAACACTTAAATAAAATGTAAAATTCATTATAAAAAATACATACTGCGAATTAAATAATACATCAGGTTTTAATTTATATATGTATATAAAAAGACTATATCTTATAGTATAAAAACATGTCTGCTCAGCTATAATGTCAGTAAAAAGGTTGGAGGTGCTCCAGTAGTTCTTGGTCCTGGAGTTTGAACATAAGAGTGTGTCGACAGTGGTAACATCATCAGAGACAATCCTCATCACGAGGCCATAGACTGTCATGGGACACAGTGGGTAAATATGATTGGGGATGTAGTCTACTACAGGTCTACCCACTTTGAGTTAGATTATAAAATTAACTCACAACTCTGCGTATTTATAACACAGAGTACAGATATTGAAACTAAAAAGTGCAACAATTCCATACCCATCCAGTCTAAACTCAGGTTAGGCCTACTAGGTAAATAATCTCTCTGGTTCGTACTGTATCACAACTCATCACTAGAGGGCGCTATGAGACCAAACAAACAGGGATGGATAAAGAGAATGACCTCCACGAGAAATGCAATTGGAAAAATGTGCTTGTAGGTAGTAGTGTAGTAGGGAATGCATCTCAAATGGCACCCTATTCCCTACAAAGGGTGCTATTTGGGATGCAGTAAGTGTGAATTTTGCTTGTATTGGCCATTTAGTGTCCAGCACATTGGGCAGCTCTCCTGTTCTTCCTCTATCCCTCTCTTTTCTCCTCATCTTGCTCTTCCTCTCGATCCTCACCCATTGGTCAATATTCCAGACTTCAGGGTGTGTTGGACTGGGCAGTGCCCTCTCATGCATTGTCACAGATCAGGGTGCCCTCTGGGCTTGTGTGTGATGATGTTGGCATGCCACTCTCATTCACACACCAGCAGTGACCGCGGCGCATGCCCCGAGACGACCGACACTGCCACACAGAGATAAAGCCTATTAGAGATGTGCAGTTTTGTAGAGGACACAACAACGACACTCAAACACTTACACACAAACATTACTGACCAGGCATCAACTATCGAGTCCAGCCTGCAACTCAAGATTGAGTTGGCCCACTGAGCTCCTGCTTAGGCAAGGTTACTCATCATGCAAGCATAGTTTGGCGAACCACCTCTGCTATACATGCATAAATCAGTCTGCTTCTAGACCTACCTGTTTCTTTCTAAAGAAACCACGCTTGTCACAGTTAGGCATATAGATATCACCACGGTCTGACTGGAAGACCAGGGGCTCAAGACCTTTAAGTACAGTGTTCAGCAGCCTACGACACGGAGCCTAGAGAGAGAAGGAGAGAGAGACGGAGAGAGAGCTGGTTCTCATTATTAAAACCCCGCCACTACCTCAGGTGCATGTTTTATTGTCTTTCAATTTTATCGCTCAACACAATCCTCCTCACATTTGTATGTACAACTTGTCCTCATTATGAAATGTCTTAAGTAAGGAATTTTACCTTCTCCAGGTCTTCAGTGGGTGTCGAGTGTGTGGCTGGAAAAATACATGACAACAGCTTTAGCATAGTAATGGATTACATTACCACAGTAACTGATTACTGAGATATCTGATAAATGCAGTGGCAGAGACAAACCAGTAGGTAGAGTCACATATCATGTTCACAGATTGGCACAAACAGGTTGTATAGTAAAATTACCAGCTGCTGGTGATTTGAGGTTATCATGACGTAATTGGGATTATTTAAGAGGAGAACATTTCCCACACACAAAACAAATTAATTCCTGGTGGAGTCTGAGCATAGATTTATTTGAAAGAAATCCTAAGTCTTGTGGCTGAGTTTGGAGCACTGCATATTGATCTTGACTCTGTCTCCAATGTAAACTACTGTAAGTGCCAATTGTGTGCTCCATTACGACCTAGCTGTATTTTTTCTGAAGCTTACTTCTGATGAAGCTACACATTTTCCACTTCCACAGGCCAATACAATCTCACAATCGGGACCTTTCTTGTCACAACAGTCATTAGAGCAACATTTATGTATTTGTCTAAGATATACAGCGCTGGTGTCATGTCCATATCCTAACAAGGATAAACTCTGGGCCCTTGTTATACAGCCCATAACATGGTCATGTGAACTATCCGCAAAAGCTAAATCTAGCATTGATTTTAGTTACAATTTACAGTACCCCCTCCTCCACCCCACCAGATGTAACTGAGTGGCGTCTCCCTCTGTGCTGTAGTAGGTGTCTTACCTGTGGGCTGGGGACTCTCAGAAGGGCTGGGCCCACTGGCGTTGCTGCAGACTCCCCTGCCCTGCAGAAGGGCCTGGATGGGGCTGGGGTCTCCCAGTGGTGGGGCACAGCGGAGTCCACGGGCACAGCTCAGGGTGTAGACCCCACAGGGCTCCCCCAGGAACAGGACGGGGGTGCTGAGCTCCCCAGACTGCTGCCTCTGGTTGGGGGCCCTAGCCCCCTGTAAGTCCTTACTGGAGGGACTCCCTCCTCTGCGAGGGGGCAGCCGGGAGGCTAGCGTCCACGGGCTGGAGAGGGCAAGCTGGAGGAAGAGCAGAGCCAGAAGGTCAGGGTACAGAAGCATGTTTCCCTCAAGATACACGTTGTCCACCAACAAAAGTTAAGTAATAGTCCAGGAGGTTCCTATTTGTTTCAATGCCAGATAGTGTGTTTCAATGCCAGGTAGGCTGTTGTCTGAGGTTTGTTCTTATTCAGCTCAGTTCCAGTAGTCGGTTGGGAGACGCGAGGCAGAGTGGATAGGAATCCCCTCCAGCTACAACAGAGCGATAATGAAGCAGACAGACACCACAGACAGCGGCTTTTAAAGAGCCAAAAGGTGGAGGGAGAGGGAGGGGGAAGGAAAGAGGAAGAGAGAAATATTAGTCTCCCCTCTCATTTCCAGATTGCTGAGCACACCCCCACTTCCCCTTGTCTCTGACACACACACCTTTCTTTTACCAGTGCCTGCTGGTGAAATAGGGTTAGCCGTAACCCAATCATGACGTGTTATTATTGCTGTTTCATATTCAGCATTATTGTTTTCCCACCAGGAATACATTTGATTGATGTGTTTTACAAGTAAGCATTACTGACACATTTAAAATGACAAGGCTGGCGATGAGAACATTTGTTTTTAGAAAACATATTTGTGGGATTAAGTGATCATAGTCTGTTGCTGGAAAAACTGCTGTGTTATGGCTTTACACCCCCTGCTATATTGTGGATAAAGTGTTACCTGTCTAACAGAACACAGAGGGTGTTCTTTAATGGAAGCCTATCCAACAAAATCCAGGTAGAATCAGGAATTCCCCAGGGCAGCTGTCTAGGCCCCTTACTTTTTTCAATCTTTACTAACGACATGCCACTGGCTTTGAGTAAAGCCACACTATACACGTCAGCTACCACAGCGACTGAAATGACAGCAACACTTAACAAAGAGCTGCAGTTAGTTTCAGAATGGGTGGCAAGGAATAAGTTAGTCCTAAATATTTCAAAAACTAAAAGCATTGTATTTGGGACAAATCATTTACTAAACCCTAAACCTCAACTAAATATTGTAATGAATAATGTGGAAATTGAGCAAGTTGAGGAGACTAAATTGCTTGGAGTAACCCTGGATTGTAAACTATCATGGTCAAAACATATTGATACAACAGTAGCTAGGATGGGGAGAAGTCTGTCATTAATAAAGCGCTGCTCTGCATTCTTAACAGCACTATCAACAAGGCAGGTCCTACAGGCCCTAGTTTTGTCGCACCTGGACTACTGTTCAGTCGTGTGGTCATGTGCCACAAAGAGGAAAATTGCAATTGGCTCAGAACAGGGCAGCACGGCTGGCCCTTGGATGTACACAGAGAGCTAACATTAAAAATATGCATGTCAATCTCTCCTGGCTCAAAGTGGAGGAGAGATTGACTTCATCACTACTTGTATTTGTGACAGGTATTGACATATTGAATGCACCGAGCTGTCTGTTTGAACTACTGGCGCACAGCTCGGACACCCATGCATACCCCAAAAGACATGCCACCAGAGGTCTCTTCACAGTCCCCAAGTCAAGAACAGACTATGGGAGGTGCACTGTACTACATAGAGCCATGACTACATTGAACTCTAAACCACATCAAGTAACTCATGCCAGCAGTAAAATTAGATTTAAAAAACTGATAAAAATACAGCTTATGGAACAGCAGGGTGTCACGCCCTGGTTCTGGGGACTCTTAAATGTTGAGCCAGGGTGTGGATTTGCTTTGTTTAGTTTTTTCTATGTTTTCTAGATCGTTTAGATCTATGTTGGCCAGGGTGGTTCCCAATCAGGGGCAGCTGTAGCTCGTTGTCTCTGATTGGGGACCATACTTAGGCAGCCTGTGTTGCACTAGTATTTGTGGGATCTTGTTCCGTAAGGTTTGTTTTGTATTAACCTAGGACTTCACGTATCGTTTGGTTTGTTGTTTTGTTCGTGTGGTGTACTACAAATAAAATGTACGCTTATCACGCTGCGCCTTGGTCCGTGTCTTCAGTCGACGATCGTGACACAGGGACTGTGAAGCAACACAAACATAGACACATGCATAGAAACACACGATAACATACACACTATACACACATGTACAAATGGATTTTGTGTTACAGTGAGGGAAAAAAGTATTTGATCCCCTGCTGATTTTGTATGTTTGCCCACTGACAAAGAAATGATCAGTCTATAATTTTAATGTTAGGTTTATTTGAACAGTAAGAGACAGAATAACAACAAAAACATTCAGAAAAACGCATGTCAAAAATATTATAAATCGATTTGCATTTTAATGAGGGACCCCCTCTCAATCAGAAAGATTTCTGGCTCCCAGGTGTCTTTTTATACAGGTAACGAGCTGAGATTAGGAGCACACTCTTAAAGGGAGTGCTCCAAATCTCAGTTTGTTACCTGTATAAAAGACACCTGTCCACAGAAGCAATCAAACAATCAGATTCCAAACTCTCCACCATGGCCAAGACCAAAGAGCTCTCCAAGGATGTCAGGGACAAGATTGTAGACCTACACAAGGCTGGAATGGACTACAAGACCATCGCCAAGCAGCTTGGTGAGAAGGTGACAACAGTTGGTGCGATTATTCGCAAATGGAAGAAACACAAAATAACTCTCAATCTCCCTTGGCCTGGGGCTCCATGCAAGATCTCACCTCGTGGAGTTGCAATGATCATGAGAACGGTGAGGAATCAGCCCAGAACTACACGGGAGGATCAAGGCAGCTGGGACCATAGTCACCAAGAAAACAATTGGTAACACACTACGCCGTGAAGGACTGAAATCCTGCAGCGCCCGCAAGGTCCCCCTGCTCAAGAAAGCACATATACAGGCCCGTCTGAAGTTTGCCAATGAACATCTGAATGATTCAGAGGAGAACTGGGTGAAAGTGTTGTGGTCAGATAAGACCAAAATCGAGCTCTTTGGCATCAACTCAACTCGCCGCGTTTGGAGGAGGAGGAATGCAGCATATGACCCCAAGAACACCATCCCCACCGTCAAACATGGAGGTGGAAACATTATGCTTTGGGGGTGTTTTTCTGCTAAGGGGACAGGACAACTTCACCGCATCAAAGGGACGATGGACGGGCCATGTACCGTCAAATCTTGGTTGAGAACCTCCTTCCCTCAGCCAGTGCATTGAAAATGGGTCGTGGATGGGTATTCCAGCATGACAATGACCCAAAACACACGGCCAAGGCAACAAAGGAGTGGCTCAAGAAGAAGCACATTAAGGTCCTGGAGTGGCCTAGCCAGTTTCCAGACCTTAATCCCATAGAAAATCTGTGTAGGGAGCTGAAGGTTCGAGTTGCCAAACGTCAGCCTCGAAACCTTAATGACTTGGAGAAGAGTGGGACGAAATCCCTCCTGAGATGTGTGCAAACCTGGTGGCCAACTACAAGAAATGTCTGACCTCTGTGATTGCCAACAAGGGTTTTGCCACCAAATACTAAGTCATGTTTTGCAGAGGGGTCAAATACTTATTTCCCTCATTAAAATGCAAATCAATTTATAACATTTTTGACATGCGCTTTTCTGGATTTTTTTGTTGTGATTCTGTCTCTCATTGTTCAAATAAACCTACCATTAAAATTATAGACTGATCATGTCTTTGTCAGTGGGCAAACGTACAAAATCAGCAGGGGATCAAATACTTTTTTCCCTCACTGTATAGATATGTGGTACTAGAGTAGAGGCCATCTTGATGTGTGAAAGTTAGTGTATAAGCTAATGATCCATCATGTATGACATTCCTGGGAGTGTGTAAACTTACGTTTTGTATTACCATATCATTTTTGTATGTTCTCTATAGTTATGTACTTGCAAATGTATCAATTGACCAATTCGGCACATTTGGGCAGACTTGATACAAAATAGTCCAGTATTGTAATGCTTCACTGGATCAATCTGAAACTTTGCACACACACTGCTGCCATTTAGTGGCCAAAATCTAAATGGCGCCTAAACTGCAATACTATATTGTGGCCTTTCTCTTGCATTTCAAAGATGATGGAAGGAAAAATAATTTTGAAAACGCATGTTTTTTTGTTTGTATTATATTTTACCAGATCTAATGTGTTATATTCTCCTACATTAATTTCACATTTCCACAAACTTCAAAGTGTTTCCTTTCAAATGGTATCAAGAAAATGCATATCCTTGCTTCAGGTCCTGAGCTACAGGCAGTCAGATTTGTAATGTCATTTTAGGCGAAAATTGAACAAAAAGGGTCTGATCCTTAAGAGGTTAACCTGTACTTTGATGGTTATTGATGAAGAAGCCTGATAATGAATTTGGACAGGTTCCAACAGCAATCTTGTTAAATAGTTGCATCAGGCACTGGTCTAAATCATATTCCTCTACTGTACTTTATGACTGAACACCTGAGCTGTTTGAAATATGGCCTACCGTCTTTGGAATTTTGGAATGTACAGTCAAACACCAAAGGAATTCTAATCAAGGCATTAGTCACTCACATCCAAAGTTTAATGACCCCATTAAATGGAGTGTTTGCATTTGCAGTTGCCATGGCTTAGCTTAAAATAACAAATATTGAACACAAAAGAGTACTTGATGACGTAAAAGTGCACGTACAGACTTTGATCAGAGAGACATTGACGGAGAGGGTGCAGGAGTGCCACTTAATGTAGGGGACTTTGGCTGACTAAGCCAAACATGATTCATTCTTCCATCACAGGAAATGCATTCCTCTGTGTGTGTGTGTGTCATGATAATGGACTAGTGAAGAATTTGGTGGGAGGACCACCTCTTTAAAAATGACTTATTTCAGAAAAATGAAGGAAAAAAACACGTCTGTTTAATGCTGAAGCCAATATGGCAACGAATATGTAAAGGCAAGAAACATTTGCTGTCAGTCCTGTGTTCCCAGTTAACGATCCGAACGCTGCTCGGTTCACATGTTTCACAATCAAGATTTGTTTCCACACCTAACAATTAGTAACCCACCCCAAAACCCAGGATTCCTCCTTCTAAAAAAAGACACGGCTCCGCCCCATAATTAGGGTCCTTTATTATTTTACAGTCATCTCAAATTCTCTCTTTCTCACTCACACACACACACGTTTCATTTATATATATATATAATAAAACATTTCACTGTCAAGTTTAGCCAAGTCAATTGAGATAATAATGCTCTTTGAAAAGTATCCTATAGCCTAAAATAAACAGCTACAGTAGAGTATTTTATAGATTGCCGGAAACAAATGTTCTATGTATCATGATGTCATTAGAACGCGCCATTTGCACTCAGCGGAATTTGTTTTGATGGAGCTGGACAACACGTACTGGAAATTTGTAAACAACAAGGAATTTGGCCACAGATGAAAGACAGTCGTTTAACGATAAGGTGTGCAACTTTTAGTCCGTGTGTGGTTAATACATTTTAAAAAATGTTACCGGACGTGTGAGAGAATGTGCTGCTTACGGACAGAACTCTTCCTCACTGTGTGTGAGGTTGAGAAGTGCTTGATGTGGATAGCTAGCTAACCGACAGTAGCTATTTATTTCCTTGCAGGTGTTGGCAGCTGGAGCTAGATAGCTGGCTAGTTCACTCTAGACTAGTAACATTTGCTATGTGTCATAAATTGCTAGCTAACTAGGTATATTGTGTATTAACTAGGTAATAACCCGTAAATTACATTTGCTATTATTAGACACCCTCGTACAAGCTACTTTGCCATTTGTTTTTCAGTTTGATTTCGATCCAACTAAACCAAACAAATGCAACACCGACATCCTAGTCCATAAATATTCAGTCGAGCCTGCTATACATATGCAGCTGCCACTTAAAAAAATTATATGAGGGTAGGGTAGAGGATCAACACCTCAATGTTTCTGTTTGTGTCCTCAGGTAAGCGATGGACGACATCAACCTCCATTACCGCTTTCTTAACTGGAGACGGAGGATCCGGGAGATTCGTGAGGTGCGGGCTGTGCGGTACCGTGAGCGGTTCAAGAGGATGCTGAGAGACGGAGACCTGCTAAGGTGGGGATGAAAACTGTCAAGTGTAGGATGATGAATGAGGAATTGAATTATTTTTTCCCCCCAGAAGGAATATCAGTTGTGGTAAGTCGGATAAGATCAAGATACAAACTGTATAGTAGGCCTTAACATAAACAGAAACATTCATACATAATAATATATAATGACACTAGCCAAAACAGTGTTCCTCTATCCTGGTTCAGGGCAAGGAATGTAAAGAGAAGGAACAGTCAGGGCTTGGTTTCCCAACAATGGCCGAAGATGTAAAATGCGTTTCCAAAAACACCAGGCAGAGAGCGTTTACAAAAACACCACGCAGCGAGAACGGTCGCTAAGTGCGTTGTTGGAGCATGTATTGATACTGATAGTATCAAAATAAAGGGAGCGCTGCTCTCGGATCAGCTTTTTCCATTCAAATCTTACCTTAACATTCACAATACTGAAAACGGATCAGCTCGTATTACTACCTACGGCTGCAAATATTGAGGTGTCTTATTCTAATGCTTACCCAATAAAAATGCACTAAGTCACCAATTTGGCACATCATTGCACACATGTTAGGCCAGTGGTTCCCAACCAGAGGTACTAGGACCCCTGGGGGTACTTGGCCTATCCACAGGGGGTACATGAGAAGACTCATGAGACCATAGGCTTACTGGTAAAATGCACACGAGGGGGTACTCTGGGCAGAGCAAAATTCAGTTGGTAGTACAGCAACCGAAAAAGGTTGGGAACCTTTGTGTTAGGCTACACATCATTAAATATATTGAGAAAATTACAGACAGTAGCCTACAAGTAGCAAAATAGAACTAAATTGATTGAACATGAAACGTATTTCAATATGATTGAAATAGGCCTATAGCCTACTGTTTATTTTAATGCAGTCATCTTGGTTCATTTGAAGCATCTTTTTATACGTCGCTTTTTTGTATCAATTGCAAAGACATTGTCAACTTTTAATTTATTGTCAACTTTGTTCTGAAGGTATCAGCGGTCAAAGAGAGATTGATAAACCATGTGATTTTATGTTTAGCGGAGGAGATCTTCTGTATAAAGTGCCGCGGGAAGGCAAAAAAGCATCTACAACGCACTTAGCTGTTCTACGAGTGGTCTGAGGCAGGCGATAGATTAAGAGCATTTTCAAGTGCAACGTTAATAACGATGGTTTTGGGAAACAGCTCGGAGATTTAACGATGCTCCTACGAAGGTTCTAATGATGAACTTAGCCTTAAGATGCTTTTTGGAAACCAGGCCCAGATCAGTCAGTCAGACACAGTTTACCCAAAATGCATCACGGACCTAATGTTTTCGAACACGGCCACCCTGTGGCCCTGTCCACAGAACCAAGGAATGTAAAGAGAAGGAACATTCAGATGCATCATAATAACTCTATCCTTGGTTCTGGAGACCCACAGGCATGATGGCCTTGTTCGAGAACATCAAATCCGTGATGCAATGTGGGTAAATTGTGACTGACGGCTGATCTACAAATAATAATAAGTAGTTATTATTCAAGGTGATTTATAGATCAGGTAGTCGGCGACTGCATTGCAGTCAAAGCCAAACAAGCCCGCTGTGAGTGAAGTATTTTGTTGCAGCCAAGTAGTAACACCTGATTCAAGCCCTTGATGAGCTGACTCAGGTGTGTTAGTTTGTACTGGGACCTAGGCCCGTATCCACAAAGCATCTCAGAAAACGTCCTAGGAATCCTGTTAAAACCTGTTTTAAGACTTAAAAAACTCCCAGCTCAGAGTAGGTTGTAGGATGATGTTAAGACACTGCCCAGACAAACTCTTAGCCAGGAGCAAAATCACTCATAAAAGTTGATCTCAGCTGGTAATCACAATCACGACAGTTTGAGGTACCGCAAAGGAAAGATAGTGATGACACTTATTGACATTGTTGCAAATTATGGGGAATAACCATTTGCGATGAGGCATCGCCAGCTGTGAACTCTATAGCACACTTCAGAAAACCACAGTGAATGTGACTGTACATCAAATGTTGTAATGGTAAAAATGTTTGCTATCATCACTTTGCCTAGGCCTACTCTTAATTATTGCCTAATATGTTGGCATTCATATATATACATTACCGTTCAAAAGTTTGGGGTCACTTAGAAATTTCCTTGTTTTCCATGAAAACATACATGAAATTAGTTTGAATAGGAAATATAGCAAAATGAATAGGAAATGTAGTCATTGACAAGGTTAGAAATAATGCTTTTTAATTGAAATAATAATTGTGTCCTTCAAACTTTGCTTTCGTCAAAGAATCCTCCATTTGCAGCAATTACAGCCTTGCAGACCTTTGGCATTCTAGTTGTCAATTTGTTGCGGTAATCTGAAGACATTTCACCCCATGCTTCCTGAAGCACCTCCCACAAGTTGGATTGGCTTGATGGGCACTTCTTACGTACCATACAGTCAAGCTGCTCCCACAACAGCTCAATAGGGTTGAGATCCGGTGACTGTGCTGGCCACTCCATTATAGACAGAATACCAGCTGACTGCTTCTTCCCTAAATAGTTATTGCATAGTTTGGAGCTGTGCTTTGGGTCATTGTCCTGTTGTAGGAGGAAATTGGCTCTAATCAAGTGCCGTCCACAGGGTATGGCATGGCGTTGCAAAATGGAGTGATAGCCTTCCTTCTTCAAGATCCCTTTTACCCTGTACAAATCTCCCACTTTACCACCACCAAAGCACCCCCAGACCATCACATTGCCTCCACCATGCTTGACAGATGGCATCAAGCACTCCTCCAGCATCTTTTCATTTGGTCTGCGTCTCATAAATGTTCTTCTTTGTGATCTGAACACTTCAAACTTCGATTCGTCTGTCCATAACACTTTTTAACATCTTCCTCTGTCCAGTGTCTGTGTTCTTTTGTCCATCTTAATCTTTTCTTTTTATTGGCCAGTCTGAGATATGGCTTTTTCTTTGCAACTCTGCCTAGAAGGTCAGCATCCCGGAGTCGCCTCTTCACTGTTGACGTTGAGACTGGCATTTTGCGGGTACTATTTAATGAAGCTGCCAGTTGAGGACCTGTGATGCATCTGTTTCTCAAACTAGACACTAAATGTATTTGTCCTCTTGCTCAGTTGTGCACCGGGGCCTCCCACTCCTCTTTCTATTCTGGTTAGAGCCAGTTTGCGCTGTTCTGTGAAGGGAGTAGTACACAGCGTTGTACGAGATCTTCAGTTTCTTGGCAATTTCTCGCATGGAATAGCCTTCATTTATCAGAACAAGAATAGACTGACGAGTTTCAGAAGAAAGTTCTTTGTTTCTGGCCATTTTGAGCCTGTAATCGAACCCACAATTGCTGATGCTCCAGATACTCAACTAGTCTCAAGAAGGCCATACACAAAAATTTATGCACGCATGACTGTAAGTCGCTTTGGATAAAAGCGTCTGCTAAATGGCATATTATTATTATTATTATAAGGCCAGTTGTGTTGCTTCTTTAATCAGCACAACAGTTTTCAGCTGTGCTAACATAATTGCAAAATGGTTTTCTAATGATCAATTAGCCTTTTAAAATTATAAACTTGGATTAGCAAACACAACATGCCATTGGAACACAGGACTGATGGTTGCTGATAATGGGCCTCTGTACGCCTATGTAGGTATTCCATTAAAAATCTGCCGTTTCCAGCTACAATAGCCATTTACAACATTAACGATGTCTACACTGTATTTCTGATCAATTTGATGTTATTTTAATGGACAAAAAAATTGCTTTTCTTTCGAAAACAAGGACATTTCTATGTGACCCTAAACTTTTGAACGGTAGTGTATATATATTTTTTAACCAATTCTGATGGTTGTTAAAAGTGGAATTTTAGCAATATTATTGTTATATCAACACATTTGCAATCCCGTTTAACAACTGTAAATTGCTTTGACAAAGCAGGAATCGAGTCACTTGCCAATAATGTTGCATACAACGTTGTATACGTTTTAAAGGTCTATCATTTTCATCGAACACAATCAAAGTTAACATAAGCCCTAGTCGCCAGCAGATTTGACACCTTACACTTGCTTACAGCTGCACAACACATTTCTCATCCCTACACATTTCTCATCCCTACACATTTCTCATCCCTACACATTTCTCATCCCTGGATTGATGTACGTTTTCCGAGCCATATCTCGCGCCGGCTCAGCAGTTTCTTAATGTAAGCAAACGTCCTGTCGGAGCCTGTGTAGCTGTAAGCCAGCATAAGGTGTCGTCCTGTCGGAGCCTGTGTAGCTGTAAACCAGCATAAGGTGCCGTCCTGTCGGAGCCTGTGTAGCTGTAAGCCAGCATAAGGTGCCGTCCTGTCGGAGCCTGTGTAGCTGTAAGCCAGCATAAGGTGTCGTCCTGTCGGAGCCTGTGTAGCTGTAAGCCAGCATAAGGTGTCGTCCTGTCGGAGCCTGTGTAGCTGTAAGCCAGCATAAGGTGTCGTCCTGTCGGAGCCTGTGTAGCTGTAAGCCAGCATAAGGTGTCGTCCTGTCGGAGCCTGTGTAGCTGTAAGCCAGCATAAGGTGTCGTCCTGTCGGAGCCTGTGTAGCTGTAAGCCAGCATAAGGTGTCGTCCTGTCGGAGCCTGTGTAGCTGTAAGCCAGCATAAGGTGTCGTCCTGTCGGAGCCTGTGTAGCTGTAAGCCAGCATAAGGTGTCGTCCTGTCGGAGCCTGTGTAGCTGTAAGCCAGCATAAGGTGTCGTCCTGTCGGAGCCTGTGTAGCTGTAAGCCAGCATAAGGTGTCGTCCTGTCGGAGCCTGTGTAGCTGTAAGCCAGCATAAGGTGTCGTCCTGTCGGAGCCTGTGTAGCTGTAAGCCAGCATAAGGTGTCGTCCTGTCGGAGCCTGTGTAGCTGTAAGCCAGCATAAGGTGTCGTCCTGTCGGAGCCTGTGTAGCTGTAAGCCAGCATAAGGTGTCGTCCTGTCGGAGCCTGTGTAACTGTAAGCCAGCATAAGGTGTCGTCCTGTCGGAGCCTGTGTAGCTGTAAGCCAGCATAAGGTGTCGTCCTGTCGGAGCCTGTGTAACTGTAAGCCAGCATAAGGTGTCGTCCTGTCGGAGCCTGTGTAACTGTAAGCCAGCATAAGGTGTCATCCTGTCGGAGCCTGTGTAACTGTAAGCCAGCATAAGGTGTCGTCCTGTCGGAGCCTGTGTAACTGTAAGCCAGCATAAGGTGTCGTCCTGTCGGAGCCTGTGTAGCTGTAAGCCAGCATAAGGTGTCGTCCTGTCGGAGCCTGTGTAACTGTAAGCCAGCATAAGGTGTCGTCCTGTCGGAGCCTGTGTAACTGTAAGCCAGCATAAGGTGTCGTCCTGTCGGAGCCTGTGTAGCTGTAAGACAGCATAAGGTGTCGTCCTGTCGGAGCCTGTGTAACTGTAAGCCAGCATAAGGTGTCGTCCTGTCGGAGCCTGTGTAGCTGTAAGCCAGCATAAGGTGTCGTCCTGTCGGAGCCTGTGTAACTGTAAGCCAGCATAAGGTGTCGTCCTGTCGGAGCCTGTGTAACTGTAAGCCAGCATAAGGTGTCGTCATGTCGGAGCCTGTGTAGCTGTAAGCCAGCATAAGGTGTCGTCCTGTCGGAGCCTGTGTAGCTGTAAGCCAGCATAAGGTGTCGTCCTGTCGGAGCCTGTGTAGCTGTAAGCCAGCATAAGGTGTCGTCCTGTCGGAGCCTGTGTAGCTGTAAGCCAGCATAAGGTGTCGTCCTGTCGGAGCCTGTGTAACTGTAAGCCAGCATAAGGTGTCGGATCGGCTGGCTAAAGCCCTAGATGCCTTAGATCTGTTCAATGTGCGCTATTTCTATGCTTCCTGTTCTTAATTTTAGTTTTTGCGTCTTTTACTTTCAGTTTTGTACACCGGCTTCAAACAGCTGAAACAACAATATTTTTAGTTATAGAAAATATATTTCACAGCAGTTTAGCTGGTATAATGGGCTCCCAAGTGGTGCAGCGGTCTAAGGCACTGCATCTCAGTGCTTGAGGCGTCACTACAGACCACCTGGTTCGATTCCAGGCTGTATCACAACCGGCCGTGATTGGGAGTCCCATAGGGCGGCGCACAATTGGCTCAGCGTCGTCCGGGTTTGGCCGGTGTAGGCCGTCATTGTAAATAAGAATTTGTTCTTAACTGACTTGCCTAGTTAAATAAAGGTAAAATATATATATATATATATATATATATTCTCTACACTATACTAGCTTACTTTGTCACATAAACTGAAATTAGGCGAACTATTAGAGTATTAGTAACCAGGAAATGGTGGAGCGATTTCTGCATAGTGCAACTTTAACAACTCCAATGCAATTGCATGTGGTGCAGGAACCACTGACTCGCTGCATTTTTCTATTATCAAGACACCTGCTGTTAACTCTTAAAGGGTTAGGACAGCTCATGAGGTCTCCTAAATATATTTCGACTAGGTGGGACTAAAGAGGCTTCATGCATAGCTTTTAATTTTTACCCATAAGAGTAGGACTAAAATGTATATTCTCAGCACTTACGACTAATTTTCTACTTGCTTTGTGGATACGGCCCCTAGATTGATTGCTTTTAGACTAATACTTTCTTTCACACTGTCCTCCTCTCCTGTCACTGTCTTGGATGACCAGTACCATCCACAAGTTAAAGAACAACTGTATGCTGTGTAGCATATGCTTGTATGTTCGTTGCATACTTTCAAATACGTTTGCAAATACAATACGATGAATATAAAGTAATTTCTGAAATTCTGTGACAGTTACCAAGGGAACTCGGATGAGGTTGGCTGCTACGTGGCTCCAAGGCCGTTATCCAAAGGAAACTGCTACTTTGAGGTAGGCTCCAATACAGATTTAATTAGGTATCCCTGACTCAGGCATTGGTGGTCTTGTAGTTCATTTTGGTCAATTTATGTAACATTAATCATTTTGAAGCATTTCCATATATTTATTTATATATTCTCCATATATTTATTTATATATTCTTAATTCTGTTGCTTTACTTAGATTTGTGTGTATTGGGTATATGTTGTGAAATTGTTAGATATTACTTGTTAGATATACTGCACTGTCGGAGCTAGAAACACAAGCATTTCGCTACACCCGCAATAACATCTGCTAAACACGTGTATGTGACAAATACAATTTTATTTTATTTTATTTAAACAAATGCATTTTACTTTACCATGCTATTAATCAAATTTGACAGACATATTACACAAGTTGTCAAGTCAAGATGTCTCTTGCCTCTATTGTGTTTCCACACTGTTGTACCCTGTTGTTCCCACACTGTTGTACCCTGTTGTTCCCACACTGTTGTACCCTGTTGTTTCCACACTGTTGTACCCTGTTGTTCCCATACTGTTGTACCCTGTTGTTCCCACACTGTTGTACCCTGTTGTTCCCACACTGTTGCCTACTGTAGTATAGGCTAGTCTTTTGACAGTTCAAGAGTCTCGTTCAAGTCAAGAGCATCGTAATTCTGAGCCCATCGCCAGTCACACCCTGTAGATTAACTGCTGTCTGCACTCAGAGAACTGCACAGCTGCTAAATTTAGCTGACACTTGAGTAAAAATAGTTTGCAGACCAACCCAAAATGTGTTATTTTTGGACCCTTCTTTTTTTTTAAACAAATGATCTGACAAATGGATCGAAAATGGTCGTTTTTCCAGTGTAAAAGAATGCAGTGTGTAACATAACTCCCCAGTTATTCACCAGTACCTTTTTTAATAGGAGTCCCTCCAGACTAAATCATAAAGACAGCAGACTTGTAAAAAAGCATCCTGGGTTTTGGGAAAGCTCAGGAAAGGAGGACTTGGCTGTACATTCTGGGATAGGGAGAGGTCTGGTTCTGGTGTGTAGTGTTGGCTTCCTGAGCCTACTGTATGCTATGCCAGGACAGTTAGTGGGTAAGTAGAGTGATTCTTGAAGGAGTCCTGCTGGTGTCTATAGATGAGTCCCAAATGGCACTCTATTCCCTTTATAATGCACTACTTTTGACCAGGGCCCATAGTAGTGCGCTATATAGGGGAATAGCAGGCCATTTGGGATGCACACTATGGCGTTGGAGGATTGATTGGGCAGACATAATGAGTGTCTGACTGAACGCCCGCGCGTGCTTTAACTTTCATGGAAGGAAAACACAGCCTTGTTTATAAAAACAGAAGACTGAAGCCATGTCATTATTTTTCTCATAGTCTTATCTACTTTTTGACACATTAACTGAAATATTCCCATGTTTTAAGGACGATCATTGCCAAAACTCAGATTTTATTAATCAATCATGTAACTGCAAGTTTAACATAATCCGTGGTTCTTATATGAAAATGTTTGGTTTTTGAGACTTAGATCATTTAGCAGTGGGCAAGGGGTGCTTTCCAACCACCTATCAGTCAGTTGTCGCCTCAGTTTATCTTCAGCACACGTGTCCATCTCAGTTGAAGTGTGTTTATGTCCCAAATGGCACCCTATTCCTTTTAGAGTGCACTACTTTTGACTAGGACCGATAGGTGCCATTTGTGACACAACCCACACCAGTCTGACTGAGGATTAGGGAGCTCTGAAAGGGATTCAGAACATGATACAATGACACAACAGAGAAACAGACTGCTGCATATTCTCTCCCACACTCCAGGGACTGTGCTAGTGAGGTCATGGGGAAGGAGTTAATGGTTTCCCCTTTTTAGTGCTCTGGATCTGTCAGTGTTCTGATTGCACTCCGTCTACTCAAGCGGCCCTCAGATATGATGTCATAATTAATCGCTGTCGGTAGGAAAGTGTGTAGTCGCAGGTGCTCGTGAACAGCTGTCTGACTGCCACCCCCACAGGGAAATATGAATGAGGACTTTTGAGCATGTTAGGACCTCTTGCTCATGCTATGGTTTTTAAGTGAAGTGGTCTGTGATGTTTTCAGGTGACCATCGTTGACACAGGCGTGAGGGGGATGATTGCTGTTGGCCTGGTGCCTCAATACTACAAGCTGGACCATCAGCCTGGCTGGCTCCCGCACTCAGTGGCCTACCACGCTGACGATGGCAAGTAAGTTAATTGAATTGAACTTTAATTGATGTTCAACAACTCAGACTCGCGACGCATGTGGCAAGGAAAAGAGACTATCACGGACTACAAATGCAAATCCAACTGTGTGGTGCCCACCGAGGTCTCCCTACCAGACGAGCTTAACACATTCTATCCTCGAATTCGGAAGACTCTCGCTGCTCCGGATGACCAGGTGCTTTCGCTCTCAGAGGCTGACGTGAGGAAAACTCCCAAAAGAGTGAATACTCACAAAGCTGCCAGTCCAGATGGCATCCCTGGCTGCGTCCTCAGAGTGTGTGCTGGACACCACCCTCTGCAACTGGATCCTGGACTTCCTCACGGGCAAACCAAAGGCTTTGAGGAATGGCAACAACACCTTCTCCACACTGACTCTTAACAGAGGGGCCCCCCAGGGGTGTGTCCTCAGCCCTCTGCTATACCAGTTCACCCACGACTGCGTGGCTTTGCACGACACCAACTCCATCAAGTTTGCTGACGACACTATGGTTGTAGGCCTGATAACCAACAATGACGAGTCGGCCTATAGGGAGGAGGTAAGTGAACTGGCATTGTGGTGCCAGGACAACAACCTCTCCCTCAACGGCAGCAAAACAAAGGGAACATGCTCCAATCCACATCAACGGGACTGCAGTAGAGAGAGTCAACAGTTAAGTTCCTCAGCGTCCACATCACCAAGGACTTGTCATGGACCAACAACACCACCAGTCTTGTCAAGAGGGTGCAACAGCGTCTCTACTTCCTAAGGCGGCTGAAGAAATTTGGAATGTCACCCCGGGTCCTCTCCAAATACTAACGCTGCACCATCGAGAGCGTCCTGACCGGTTGCATCATGGCCTGGTATGGGAATTGCTCCATCCACGACTGCAAGACCCTCTTACGGGTGGTGGAGACGGCCCAGTACATCACTGGGACTGTGCTCCCACCCATCCAGGACATCTACTCAAAACGGTGCCTGAGGAAGGCCCGCAGCATCATCAAGGACCCCACACACCCCAGCCACAAGCTGTTCTCTCCCTTACCGTCGGGCAGTTGGTATCAGAGCATGAGGTCTGATACCAACAGGCGCAGAGACAGTTTCTATCTACAAGCCATCAGACTGCTGAACACTAAAACTAGACTGACCACCTGCTCTGCTTCTCTGCACCTTAGCAAACATGCACTCACGTACTCACACACGCACACACGCACACACACACACACACACACACACACACACACACACACACACACACACACACACATACACACACACATTCATGCTACACACACATCACAACTGCTGCTACCAGGCTCTTATTATGAAGGCTAAATACTGCACAATTTAAACACTTGCTCGTCAATCCCCCTTTCCCAAAAACACGTGTAAATATTGGACTATAAATTGTACCTTCTTGTATTATATTAAAATGTTTATTGTATTCTACTGAGCCATTTACTTTGTGTTCAGATTCCTAGCTTTTATTATTGTTCCCCATGATGAAATCGGGGAAGGGACTGTGGATATGTCTTTGTCCTTCCGTTCATTTGTACGTTAGTCACACGCGATATTTCAGACAGCAGTGGGCCGCGTTTGATGAGCTGAGTTTGATGAAACGTGGGTGAATGATGCGTCTTGTCATAGCGATACAACATTTTACTCATTGGCCCAAGCCGGGAGCTATAGTAATTAACTGAAATGTGTTAGTTACACGCGATATCTCAAATGGCCCAAGTGGGGGTTCTGCATCATTCGTGGGGGACGAAATGTTTACTGTTGCCTTGTTTCTTATTGTTGTTGCATTGTCGAGAAGGAACCTGCAAGTAAGCATTTCGTTGGACGGTGTATACCATGTGTATCCCGCACATACTCTAAAATATCCTATTTTTCAAAGTTTTGAATGTAGGCCTACCTCAACATTCTAGTATCAGTTTGCTCTAGAATGCATAGAGATAGTTCTAATGGTATGTTCTAGAAGGGAATAGAGAAATAGGCCTAATGTTCATCAACAGATTTATTTTGAACGCTCCACAGCACCACTTTCTACATTCTACCTAAGTTGAGAAACACTACTTGGTAGAGCTGGGCTATATAGACAAAAATCCATATCGCGATAAATTGCCTGAATTTACGCAATAACGATAAATAGAACAATACGTTTATAACATTAATGTACACCACATTATTTTTGTTTATATCCTTTAAACTACTAATACTAGTTTGATGGTTATAGTCATCAATTGGCCCATTAACAATCACCCATATTAGCTAACTTATTTCATTTCTCTAGTATAGGCTACTTATGGTAATGACAATATTGTCTTAGTTCTACTACTTGGTCTTCTGTTGTGAATCTTGAAGTATGCGAGACCTATGGGTAACTGCCAAAATAAAGGAAACACTTGAGTAAATGATGGATACAAAGTATATTGAAAGCAGGTGCTTCCACACAGGTGTGGTTCCTGAGTTAATTAAGAAATTAAAACATCCAATCATGCTTAGGGTCATGTATAAAAATGCCCAGTTGCCAATTATTTTGGCTACCATGGCTAGAAAAAGAGATCTCAGTGACATTGAAAGAGAGGTTCAAAGGAGCATAGAGGGTTTAAAGTGTGTGTGTGTGTGTGTGTGTGTGTGTGTGTGTGTGTGTCTCAGTCACCAGATCTCAACCCAATTGAACACTTTATGTTGGTGTTTCCTTTATTTTGGCAGTTACCTGTATATGGCTGACAGATAGTCTGCCAGCTGTGGCTCAGCCAGCACCCTCACGTCTCACTGCTCTGCCATTCCACAGGCTGTACAATGGGAACACTGTTGGACAGCAGTTTGGGCCCAAATGTAACCGTGGCGATCGTATCGGCTGTGGGATCTACCTAGAGTCTTTGGAGGATGGACAAACAACGGTCCTCTTCACCAAGAATGGAAAAGAAGTAAGCTCTTAGTCTTATTCTCTTTCACACACGTAGGCCTACAACATACAATCAAGATCTTGCTGTAATTTGATAAATATTATATTTTCTATGATATGTAACATATGTAATATGCCATGAATGCAGATTGGGGCACATATCCAAGATTGAGTCTCAATTTCGTAGTCTTACTCTTGAGACCACATGTGCAGTCAGGATCAAGGCTTTGGTCTTAGTCTGGGTCTAGTACTCAATGGTCCTGGACTGGTCCAGACTCAATCTCTCTGTCACCCATCGGACATAGTAACGTTGTGTTTGCGTCCAGGTGGGCACAGTCGTGGTCCCAGGGTCTCCGGAGGCACTCTACCCGGCCGTGGGGATGCACTCCCTGGGGGAGGAGGTGCAGCTGGATCTGCAGGCGGAGTGGGGGATGGAGGAAGAGGACGGACTGATGATGGTTGACAGCCACGAGGACGAGTGGGGGCGTCTCCATGACGTCAGGGTCACCGGGACGGTAGGGACCTGGCCTTGCCTGTTGTCTTTTAGGCTACTTCATACAGAATTAAATTGATGGGTCATGTGAAAGAAATGCTAGAACCACCTCTCAGCCACATCTAGCTAAGTGGATGGGTCACTATTGTGGATGGATCACTATGTACACATGTTCATGAAATACAATAGATGACCGTAATCACCCCCAGACACACCTGGCTAACTTAGTGGGTCATGTAATCATCTGGCGAAGTGGAGTCTTTTGTTTAGACCTGTAGCTAGCTAGCAAGCTAGCTAAACAATGAACCTAATGGTGCATTCAAGACAACTGGGAACTTGGAAAAATACAAGGTCAAATCATGAAGTCAGTGGTCTTCAGTTCGGAAAGTCTAGAGCCCAAGTTCCCGAGTTGGAATTCAAACTTGGATGACCGTTCAAAACGATTTTTCCCAGTTGGAGGTCAGTTCCCAGTTGTTTTGAATGTGGCAATAATCTCAACCCATACTACTAGCAACTCAAACTAAGCTAAAGCTAACCAACTAGGTTCAATGTTAGCTAGCTAACATTAGGCTATAACTAGCAATGATTTCTAAGATACGAATAATATTACTACACAGATCATACACGTAACGTTAGCTAGCGAGCCAGCCAGCTAACGTTAGCTAGCTGGCTAACAGTACGCTTTAACTTACAATGAGAACGACTTTCTGACAGAATTAGAAACGTATAATATCTGAAAATTTAGCTAGCTAGACTCTCTTACCTGTATAAATGGATTGTCGCTTCTCCCTCTCTGTCACGGATGCCATGGTTGCCCTTAGTTTGAAGATGTAATCCGGACACAGGTCTTTTCGACTCCTTATGCATATTTGCAATCAAACGCCAGAATTGTATCCCTCCTTAACTGTCATACTCTGCTTCCACCGGGCATTCCACTGATTTCAAAACATGGTCAACTTCTTCCGTGACAACAACACTGTTGATCGGCGTTTCCGAAGACTCTACAATGTCTGGTTCAATTAAAATGATTTGACCTAAATCAGGGATTTCCTCATCGTCTGATTCATTTTCAGAGTCAGAGATTCAGCATGGCACGATCGTCCTCCAGAAAGTGGAGAGCATTAGCAACACTTTTGCAGTTCTTCATGATATCTTTCAAAAAAGTTGTGGTAGAAAGGATTACCTACACATGCTGAGCAGGTCATGTTATAGACAGAAGCATGCTACATGGCAGACCAATCCGAACACATCTCTCGGCATGTCCAGCCCATCCATTATCTCAGCCAATCATGCTAGCGGGAAGGTTCCTGTCTTTTCCATGGCAAAACCAACTAATTTAACAATTGTATTCATATGTACAGATGGCATACAAGTGTGTCACTAAGTTCACGTGTTCCAGAAGGCATCTCTGCCCAAAAACTCATTTTGATAAAAAAATGAATGTTTACATTCAAATGCCTCTCCTGTGAAGTAATGACGTGCGACATACACCTAGTTTCCTGAAACAAGTCACATTTTGGTGTGTTACAGCCTATCACTGTTCTTCACACAATACCCCATAATGTCAATGTGGAATTGTGTTTTCTCCAAATGTTTGAAAATTGATTAAAAATGAAAAGCTGAAAATTATTGAGTCAATAAGTATTCAACCCCTTTGTTATGGCAAGCCTAAGTTCAGGAGTAAAAATGTGCTTAACAAGTCACTTAAGTTATTATAGTGTTTAACATGATTCTTTAATGACTACCTTATCTCTGTACCCCACACATACAATTATCTGTAAGGCCCCTCAGTCGAGCAGTGAATTTCAAACACAGATTCAACCACAAAGACCAGGGAGGTTTTCCAATGCCTCGCAAAGAAGGGCACCTATTAGTAGATGGATTTGTAAAAAAGCAGACATTGAATATCCCTTTGAGCATGGTAAAGTTATTAATTAAACCTTGGATGGTGTATAAATACACCCAGTCACTACAAAGATACAGGCGTCCTTCCTAACTCAGTTGCCGAGAGGAAGGACACCGCTCAGGGATTTCACCATGAGGCCAATGGTGACTTTAAAACAGTTGCAGAGTTCAATGGCTGTGATAGGAGAAAACTGAGGAAGCATCAACAACATTGTAGTTACTCCACAATACCAACCTAATTGACAGAGTGAAAAGAAGGAAGGCTGTACAGAATATACATATTCCAAAACATGCATCCTGTTTGCAACAAGGCACTAAAGTAATATTGCACAACATTTGGCAAAGCAATTTACTTTTTGTCCTGAATACAAAGTTTTATGTTTCGGGCAAATCCAATACAACATATTACTGAGTACCACTCTTCATATTTTCAAGCATAGTGATGGCTGCACGTTATGGGTATTAGGCTTGGGCGGTATCCAGATTTTCATATTGTCATACTGTCCTCTCATACTGGGATTTACGGTATTACCGGCATATCACACAAGGGGGCGCTAAAAACACAAGAAAAGTCCATTGGGCCTCTATTACTAGAATGCTTATAAAATGTGCACAAACTAATAGCGAATCACATAGACGCTGTTAGCTAAATGCTAATGAGCGAAAATGAACATAAATTAATTGCAAAAACAGGCCAATCCAGCTCATAAAGTTATACAAGCATAGCTAGTAGCTACCGAATGTCATTTTCTGTGAGTGTGGACATTTACAAGCGAAAGTGAACAAGAGAAATTGTGCAAGTGAACAAAGTTGTCATGCATGCTTTTCTGAAGGAAGAGCAGCATGTGTACATGGAGTAGATGGGAGACGAACAGAGGAGAAAAAAACACTAGTAGAAAGCACAGGGAAAAAATAACTAATTCAGAGCTCTTTGACTTCTGGCAGAAAGATATCTGACGGCAAACATTTCATAGTGAATTGTATACAAGTGTAACTTCATCACCTCATGTGCGCAGCACAACAGAGACTCACCGATAGATATACAACGCTATGGACTCACCAGCTCGCTTTCTGCCTTTGTGCTATTTACAAACAAACTGTTCTGGGGAACTACGGTAAGCTTCATAATTTAAAATAATGTGAAGGGTGAAATGAAGAACGCAATCTGCTAAGGTATTACACAAGTTGACTGCAGGTAATAACAAAAAAATTCGCTACAAATATTCAAATGTATTGAAAAACCTCAAAGAAATAGTTTTGTCGGTGTTGAAAAACCATTTTGTGGCTTTTTCCAAATACCTCAGTATGTGGTATATACGGTAATGGGAAGGAAAACAACCAAAAAATAAATAAAATAAAATAAATCAAACAACTTTTCTGTTAAAAATAAATAAAAAAGATCTGATCCCTACACAGGCTCAAGAGGAAGTATCCCTTGCAAGTCTTCAAATGTAAAATCCTTGAGTCCCAAAATCCTTTCTGCCGCAGCTACAATAATATCCAGTTTCTTCAACTTTTCTTTGAGACTTGTGCTGTACAGTTTATAACTGTGGCAACTGTGGAACTCAGGATCATGATCCCCACCACAATTGCAACACCGTCGTCCTTCTACACACCGTTCTTCAGTATACTCTGTTTGTCTGCACACACTTGAAACATGGCCAAATCCTTTACAATTCTTACACTACAGTGGTTTGGGGACGAAAAGAAGATGATCGGACCTGGTCTATACAGAATGGGTCTAGTTGTCCTCTGGTCCGTTCGGAACGGGTTTTAAAATTGTATTTATGCATATCAGGTCCGGGTGGGAAAGCCTCAGGTCCATTTCGGAAGACCTCTAGGCTAGAGCTAGCAATGAGTAAGTGGAGCATGCTCGATGCGCTCACACTATAAGGGGACATCAGCTGCGCTGACAGACAGACTTGATTCTCTCAATCAGTAGACGATCTGAGACACATATGATAGAAGTACCAAAAGTAACAAAGATTCTTTCTCAGAATCTAAAAAGTACCGAAGTTTCGGTATACCTTGCAACACTACTTAGAAAGCATGCCCAATACATTGCTTGTAGTATGCCGGTGTCGATATCGGAACGATTTTCCTTATGTGTTTGTATCTGTCTCTGTTTCAGTCTGTGTGTCTCTCTGTGTTTGAGTGTTTATGTGTGTGTTGGTTACTGCTGAGTGGAGACCTGCCTGGTGGTGTTGGTAATGGCATGCTTGCTGGAGGCTGCAGCGTCTCGTCTGTCTGGCCCCTCTGGTTCTGTGAAAGCAGCCTTCATACTGTAGCTACACCTGGGATTATGTTAACACACCTGTAGATTACCACAGTCTGTTTAAATAGGACACCTGAGGTGGGAGGCCTGGAATGCTCGCTGCCTCAGAGGGAACTTTGATATGAGAGCATTGGAGTCTTCCTCTGTTGACTGAACCCTTTACCATGTCATTCAGAACCAAGAGAAACGTCATGTGTTGTCAAGGTGTGACCTAATCGTACACATTGTTTCATCATTGTTTACTTATCGTTGACACTAATAAGTGATTAATGGTGTTTAGTGTGGTTGTTTCCCGTTCACTTTGGTTGCCTGGTAACAGCAGGGCTGGAATATTTGTGGTTAGGTTGACAGACGGTTAGAGATTTCACTGGAAAATCACAACATTTCCTCATATCATAAGGATGACTTCCTCATATCATTGGGATGGTTATTTTGCTTTTTGTGCCTGCCCATAGCTTAATGAGGTAGTCACCTGGAATGCATTTCAATTAAAAGGTGTGCCTTGTTTGTGGAATTTCTTTCCTTCTTAATGCGTTTGAGCCAATCAGTTGTGTTGTGACAAGGTAGGGGGGGTATACAGAAGATAGCCCTATTCAATAAAAGACCAAGTCCATATTATGGCAAAACAGCTCAAATAACCAAAGAGAAACGACAGTCCATCATTACTTTAAGACATGAAGGTCAGTTAATACGGAACATGACTGTTCAGAGGAGACTGTGAATCAGGCCTTCATGGTTGAATTGCTGCAAATAAACCACTACTAAAGGATACCAATAATAAGAAGAGACCTGCTTGGGCCAAGAAACACGAGCAATGGACGTTAGACCGG